TTAAGATCATTGTCTAACCATGCTCCATACCTGAAACTAAATACAAAGTAATATTGAATGTTAACTAATTTTTTTTAAAAAAATTAAAAAATTAGGCCAAAAATCTTACTTTTATCTTTTTAAATATGTTTTTATTGATTTCAGAGAGGAAGGGAGAGGGAGAGAGAGAATCATTGATCGGCTGCCTCCTGCATGCCCCCTACTGGGGATCGAGCTGCAACCTGGGCATGTGCCATTGACCGGAATCGAACCTGGGACCCTTTAGTCTGCAGGTGACACTCTATCCACTGAGCCAGACCAGCCAGGGCGAGTAACTACAGTTTAGAAGATCAGGGTGAGCAACACTAGCCAAGGACAAAGTAGTGTTTTGTTAGTGGCACTCACAGTAGGAAACATGCATGGGAATGAGGGAAAGGGTTTCTTTCTGTCTTATAAAAATATATAAATTTAGAATTTTTTCTCTCTACATTTTTGAGGATGAGGAAGTTGGGAAAAGGAGAGGGGGAGACCAAAAGAAGTGAAGGTGACAGAAAAAGTTGAGGCCAGGGAGGTAGAGTGGTGGCAGGATCCAGAGGCTGAGGTGGGGACGGAGGCTCTACTCTAAAATTCCACCCTCCAGGGCTTGGAGTTTTGAATTGGGTATGGGCTCCATCTGGTGGCCTAGGCTCAAAGTGCAGTCAATGGAAGGGACCTTGGGGTCTGAGATGTGTCATTTGGCACCTCCTCAGATTCCACTTAAGGTTGTTTCTCTTTCCCCCTGGCTTTTCCTATAGAATCATTGTTGGTGCAGTTTTTCTCTCAAACAGTGATTGCTGTTTTCTCTTATGGCTTAAACCATGGTTCCTTTCCTCCTAAATCTAGTTTTAGATGTAATCTTTGATTGTAGATCTTTGTTCTTTTCTAATATATGCATGCAGTGCTGTAACTTTGTCTCTAAATATTGCTTTTGCTACACCCCACAAAATTTGATAAAGTTTTATTTTTCCATTCAGTCCAAAGTATTTTAAAAATTTTGAGATTTCTTTGACCGATGTGTTGTTTGATCTTTTAACGAAGTATTTGGGGTATATCCCAGCTATTTTTCTGGTATTGATTTCTAGGTTAAGTCCATTGAGGTCTGAGAACATAGTGAATGCTGTTCTTTTCTCTTTGTTAAGGTGTGTTTTATGGCCCAGAATGTGGTCTGTGTTGGTGAATGTTCCATGTGAAATGTATATTTTGCTGCTGTAGTAATCTGTCCATATCCTTCATATCCAGTTGATTGAGTTTATGTCCTTACTGATTTTCTGTCTGCTAAGTCTATTTATGATAGAAGGGTATGGGACTTTCCAATTGTAGTATTGGCTTCATCCATTTCTCCTTGCAGTTCTGTCAGTTTGTTTTAAGGGAGGACAGTTTATCATCTTGGAGAGTTGACCTGTTTATCATTATGTAATACCCACCCCTCTGTGCTGGGTAACTTGGCTGCTCTGAAGTGTGCTGTCTGAAATTAATGGAGCTCCTCCAGCTTTTTTCTGATCAGTATTAACATGGGATAGCTTTCTCCATTCCTTTACTTTTAATCCATATGTCATTAAAATTTAAAAAATGGATGTTTGGTAAATAACACAATTTATTGATTTTTGATTCGCTCTGACAATCTTTTTTTTTAATTGATGTTTAAAGTATTCTGTAGTTGGATTAATAGTTACCATATTTATTACTATGTTTTGTTTGTTGCCCTTGTTTTTTGCCTTTTATTTCTGCCTTTGGTGGTTATGATTGAGCATTTTATCATGTGCCATTTTCTTTCCTTCCTTAGCATATCAATTAAACTTTTTTTTTGAATGGTTGCCCTAGAGCAGTGGTCGACAAACTCATTAGTCAACAGAGCCAAACATCAACAGTACAACGATTGAAATTTCTTTTGAGAGCCAAAAATTGACTTCTGTGCATGGGCCACAAAGTTTTAATCGTGCTCGCATGTGGTATTTTGTGGAAGAGCCACACTCAAGGGGCCAAAGAGCCACAAATGGCTCGCAAGCCGCAGTTTGCCTACAGTGCCCTAGAGTTAGTTCAAATACAAGTACCTTATAAAAACAAAATAATCCTAATTTCTCTCTCCTATCCCTTGTATCATCGCTGGCATTTACTTCACCTTTACATAAATTATGTTCATTGAATACATTGTTGCTATTATTTTGAACTGTTATCTGTTAAATCATTTAAGAATATAGAAAATTAGGCTCTGGCCTGGTACATCAGTTGGTTAGAGCATCATCTGAATATGCCAAGGTTTTGGATTTGATCCCCAATCAGGGAACATACGAGAATCAAACAATGAAAGCAAATAAGTGGAGCAACAAATCTATGTTTTTCTCTCTCCCCTTCCTCTAAAATCAGCTTTTAAAATTTTATTTTACTTTTACTCATACCTAGTCTAATGTTCTTCCTTTATGTGGGCTGAGTTTTTGACCTATATAATTTTCCTTCTCACTGAAGAATTTCTTTCAGTATTTTTTTCAAGGCGGGCCTACTGGCAACAAATCCCGTTTTTGCCTGAGAAAGCATTTCTCTTTACTTTTAAAGGATAATTTTGCAGGGTACAGAATTATAGATTGGTGTGTTTTCCCCCTTCAACATTTTAAATATTTCATTCCAGTCTCCTCTTGCTTGCATGATTTCTGAGAAAGTGGATGTAATTCTTACCTTTGCTCTATAGGTATTTTTTCTTCTGGCTTTTAAGGTTTTTTATCTTTGATTTTCTGCAGTGTGGATATGATATGCCTAGGTGTTGGTTTTTGTTTGTTGTGTGTGTGTGTGTGTGTGTGTGTGTGTGTGTGTGTGTGTGTATGTTTTTGTTAATTTTTAGGGAGAGAGAAATGAAGTGGTTAAAAGGGGGAGCCTAACCTATTGGGGTTTTATCACCTACTGAGAGCTTTTTTAAACTCTTGAGTTGTCCACATTGAGTTTCAGCAATTGTCAGTTGCGGTTTAGGTTTTCTTACCCTGGTATCCGTTCCCATGGAGGTTTCTACTGTGGAAAATTGTGATTTTTCTGAGTCCACTTGTCTAATTGGGGGGGGAGGTGGTGGTAGTGTTTCTCTGTTAGCTTTCAGGTAGACCTAAAAAGAGGTACTGATGGTCAGTTTGTTCAAAATGGTGACTTCTAGGCTGCTCACATGCTGGACCTGAAACTGGAAGTCTGCCCTACCTTCTCTTTGACTCTTACTTCTTTACTGCCTTAAATTTTTTTAAAGGTATTTTTTTTTATTGTGGTAAAAATAGTAGCTGTACCATTTTATTTTCCCACTAACAGTGTACAAAGATTCCAATTTCTCCACATCCTTACCAACACTTGGCTACATCCTAGTGGGTGGGAAGTGATCTCATTGTGTTTTTATTAAAAAGTATTTTTATTGATTTTAGAGAGAGGCAGGTAGAGGGATAGATAGAAACATTGATCGGCCTCCTGCACGCCTCTCAATGGAGATAGAGCCCGCGACCTAGGATGTGCCCTGAATGGCAATCCAACTGTGACTTCATGGGGCAACGCTCAACCTCTGAGCCACACCAGCTGGGTTCATTGTGGTTTTGATTTGCATTTCCTGATGTTGAGCATTTTTTTTTTTTAAATGCTTGTTGTCATTTGGATATCATCTTTGGAGAAATTTCAAGTCCTTTGCCCATTTAAAAATGAGGTTGCCTGTCCAGGTGGCTCCGTGGATTAGCATGGTCCCATGCACCAGGAAGTCAGTAGGGGGCATGCAAGAGGCAGCTGATTTGTTACTATCTTTCCTTCTCCTTTCCTATCTAAAAATCAGTAAAAAAAATACTAAAATTTTTAAAATGAGTTTTGTTAATATTATAGCAGTTCTTTATATATTGCTTATTAATGCCTTCTCAGTAATGCTTACTATCTATTACCAAGTAATATGTTTTTCTTGAAATCTGATTTCTTTCCCGACTTACATATTATTGTCCATTGTTTTAGTTCCACTTTGATTTTATCCTGTTCCTCCCATCCAATTAATTTTTGTTATTAACTGATACAGTGCTTGTTAGGGTTAAATTTATTTACTTACCATTCCTTCTTTCCATCTCATGCCTTCCTTAAGTGATCAGTTTCTACGTTCTGAAGTACATTCAAAAATAGTTTTTTCAGTGAGGGTTTGTTAATATGTTTTTATTTTCCTTTCCTTCTCAACTAGGCACAGATTTAATTTTGGTTGAGATTTTGCTTCCTGAATAAGAGGCCCCATTGCATATCTTTTTTATTTATTTATTTATTTATTTATTTATTTATTTATTTATTTATTTATTTTTGATAAAAACCATACATCCTTTTTATTGTTAAGTCATAAAGAGGTATCAAAATTAAAAGCAAAAATTACAGGTTAAGACTTAACACAACTACTAGGAGCATCAAAGGAAGTGAAAATGGGACTAGGCGCAGGGCAATATGAATGAATGAACATGGGAGGGTCAAGAGAGGGAGAACAGTGAGCATGTGCTGAAGGTACTAGGGAGAGGATCTGGTGAAAATTTTGATCTTAGACAAGCGCCTAGATAAAGAAATAATGGGACATTTCTAAACCCCACTATGTGCTTAAGAGTCATCCTCTCCTTCCTCAGCCTCTTTTTCATCATCCTTGATCAACTCCAGCTGGTCATCTCCCCATCTTCATTATCATCATCATCCAGTAGGTCCCCTCCTCCGCAGAGTCCTCTGCACCCCCCTCGGACTCCATCTTCACATTAGTCTCATCTTTCTTCAGGGAGCTGGTGGTCTGCTCCTCTTCTGTCTTATCATTCTTCATCTCTACTGGGGACGAGAAGGACAAGTCTGCTTGTTTGCTCTGTTCCTTTTCAATTTTTTCCAGGCTTTCCAGTAGATAATCCACTTTGTTTTATCTGGGTCAATTCCTTCTTAATGGCCTGAAGGTCATCTCCTTTCAACTTTGCAGACTTGGAAGAAGATCCTCGCTGTCCACTCTTAGAATTGAAGCCACTTTTGCCCCTTCATGATGTATTTCCTGATACACATTGGCATTTTGAGGGCACTACAGCCCGAGCAATAGGAGGAGGAGGAGGAACACGTGCTGGGTAACTGTACATCCTGTCATAATAATCCCGTTGAAAGTCATAGTCCAAGTCAAAAGAGGAGCCGTACATCTCCGCTGCAGATCGTTTCACACCTGCTTTTCCTCGGTTCACTTTTGGCTCTGCAGCCAGATTAATATCTAAAACCTGGCCAGCGATCATTCTGCCATCTTCTCCTGCCACCGCAGCCCAGGCATTTCTCTCATTAACATATTGAACGAAGGCAAAGCCCTTATGAACAGAGCAACCCACAATTTTGCCATACTTTGAGAAGATGGCCTCCACATCAGATTTCTTCACCACAAGAGTATTGAGATTCCCAATGAATACACGGGAGTTCATGGAGCGAGGATCTGTCTTGTTGGTAACATTGCTGGCCATTGTCTTTGATGATTACGGTTCCTCACAAAGACAAAATGTAGCTGAAGATCAAAAAAATCTCACTGGAGGGAAAAGGGAGAAGAGATTCGATTCTGAATCTCCTACTCCCGGGTTCTACGTGGAGAAGCCGACTACTGTTCGAGGTCAGCAACACGGCTGCGACCGCTCAGCCTTCGTCTCTTCACAAAATGGCTCCCGAGTCTCCTCTCGCATATCTTTTTATTTAATTTAAAAATATTTTTACTGATTGCAGAGGAGAAGGGAGAGGGAGACATAGAAACATCAATGATGAGAATCATTGATTGGCTGCCTCTTGCCCGCCCAACACTGGGAATTGAGCCCGCAATCTGGGCATGTGCCCTGACTAGGAATCAGACTGTAACCTCTTGGTTCATAAGTCAATGCTCAATCACTAAGCCATGATGGACGAGCTCCATTGTATATCTTTTATCAGCTCATGAAATTTCTTAGCTAATAGCTCTTTATAAATTGCCTCCCCCCATTCTGTCTGACCCTTCCGTTAGTACTACTTATTAAACTGTCATTTTTGGACCTCTTTTGTATTTCTCCTTATCTATTAACCTCTCGTTCTCTTTTTCTATCTTATTTTTCTAATTATGTGCTGCCTTTTGTAATTTCCTCATATCTCTTATTAACCACTCTACTCTTCATTAGCATCTATTATTTTTCTTTATATTTCTAGCAAATTTTACTTGGTTAATTTAAAAATTCTCTGATCTTCATTAACAGCATCTTGTTATTGTCTCTTGTTTTTGATTCCTTCTTTTATGACTTTAAAGATTTGAATGTACTTAATTTATGATCTGTAGCCTATCTTACTTTGATTCTTATTGGTGCAAACCTCTTTTGTTCAGTCATAATAAGAGTGGTCCTTATGTGTTTTGTAGCTTGGACTTGCAGACTCAGGTTCAGCAGGACTTAATCAGTGGGACTCTTGTGTGAACTCGGTAGGGTCTTCTTTCCAGACTATTTCTGTTACCTCTGGTAGGTTTCCCAGGGATATTACCAGGCTGAGACCATTTTTGGGTTAGCTTCTCAGTGCGAGCAAGTCATCCTAGACCTCTCATTCTCTAAGTATACTATATTCCCTTTCTGCCTTAATAGAACCCAGGTCCTGTTATCTTCCTGTATCAATAAGGTGATTTTAAAAAAATATATATTTTATTGATTTTTTTACAGAGAGGAAGGGAGAGGGATAGAGAGCTGGAAACATCGATGAGAGAGAAACATCGATCAGCTGCCTCCTGCACAGCCCCCACCGGGTTTGTGCCCACAACCAAGGTACATGTCCTTGACTGGAATCGAACCCGGGACCTCCCAGTCTGCAGGCCGATGCTCTATCCACTGAGCCAAACCGATTCCTGCGATAAGGTGATTTTTTTTTTCACTTGTCTCTTCTTTCCCTGAAGCTATAGTTCTTAACATTCTTAGGATTGTTTACTGCTTTGTTACTAAGAACTTTCCATACATTACCTCAGAACAATACTGGGGAAAGAGGTGGTAGGCATCATTATTCTGATTTTACAACCAAGTAAAACCCAGGCTGTTTACATAATGACTTATAGAAAAACTAATGACTTTCCCGAGATTGTGAAGATGGGAAATGGTGAAGATTTTCTCATGGAAAATGAGGCATTCTTTTTATTTATTTATTTATTTATTTTTTTTGTTGCCTCTGGAAAGTGCCCCAACCAGGATCTGAACCTGCAGCCTTTGTATGTTTTCTGACTGGGAATCGAACCTGCGACCTTTTTTGTGTAGGGCACCACATTCCCACCAACTGAGCCACCCTGGCCACGGTCTGGTGGAGTTCTTCATTAGGCTGAAATTATTATCAGTTCATTATCAGCCATAAAGAACCTTATCCTGTAGGTTTATTCCAGTTAGAGGACCTGCTTTGTTTTAGGTACAAGAAGCACATTTGAGAGCTGACGTGCAGATTTTCTATTTACTGCCTGACGTGCTTGTTTTCCTTCCGTAGAGTGATAATGGTCTCCAGCTGCCAAAGAAGGTTGTGGATGCCAAAAGAAAGGTAACCATTTCTCATCCCCCCGAGTGGAATTGGATGCGTCTTGGAGTTCACACTGGCTGACAGTAGTCATGGCTGAATTTACAAACTACAAGGATACTGCCTCCAGCCGCCACCTGCGGTTTAAGTTACAGAGTCTAAGCCGCCGCCTTGATGAGTTGGAAGAAGCCACAAAAAACCTCCAGAAAGCAGAGGATGAGCTCCTGGATCTGCAGGACAAGGTGATCCAGGCAGAAGGCAGCAACTCCAGCATGCTGGCTGAGATTGAAGTGCTGCGGCAGCGAGTGCTGAGAATCGAAGGCAAAGATGAGGAAATTAAGAAAGCAGAGGACCTGTGTCAGCTGATGAAGGAGAAACTTGAAGAGGAGGAAAACCTCACCCGGGAGCTGAAATCTGAGATTGAGCGGCTTCAGAAACGAATGGCCGAACTGGAGAAGCTGGAGGAGGCCTTTAGCAGGAGTAAGAATGACTGCACCCAACTCTGTTTGAGCCTGAATGAGGAGAGAAACCTGACGAAGAAAATCTCCTCTGAGCTGGAAATGCTCAGGGTCAAAGTGAAAGAACTGGAGTCTTCTGAGGACCGCCTAGATAAAACTGAGCAGAGTTTAGTGTCAGAGCTAGAAAAGCTTAAATCATTAACTCTGAGCTTTGTAAGTGAGAGAAAATACCTGAATGAAAAGGAGAAAGAAAATGAGAAACTTATAAAAGAGCTCACTCAAAAACTGGAGCAGAACAAAAAAATGAACCGAGATTATACAAGGAATGCTTCTAATCTTCTGGAAAGGAATGACCTGCGTATCGAGGACGGTATCTCTTCCACTCTGCCATCCAAAGAATCCAGAAGGAAGGGCACTCTGGACTATCTAAAGCAGGTAGAGAATGAAACAAGAAATAAATCTGAAAATGAAAAGAACCGAAATCAGGAAGACAATAAAGTCAAAGACCTTAACCAAGAGATTGAGAAACTTAAGACACAAATCAAACATTTTGAATCTTTGGAAGAAGAGCTTAAGAAAATGAGGGCCAAAAATAATGACCTTCAGGATAATTACCTAAGTGAACAAAATAAAAACAAACTCTTAGCCAGCCAGTTGGAGGAGATAAAACTACAAATCAAGAAACAGAAAGAATTAGAGAATGGGGAGGTAGGAGGGGAGGATGCTTTCCTGTCTAGCAAAGGCAGGCACGAGAGGACTAAGTTTAGAGGCCACGGGAATGAGGTATCTATGTCGAAGCACACATCTCGGGAACTGTCCCCTCAGCACAAGCGGGAAAGGCACCGAAACAGGGAGTTTGCTCTTAATGAAAACTATTCTCTGAGCAACCGGCAGGTTTCCTCTCCCGGTTTTACGAACAGGAGGGCAGCCAAAGCTTCCAACATGGGGGCAGGTACAGACAGTGGGACTCAGGAGACAAAAAGAACTGAAGACCGATTTGCACCTGGCTCCTCTCAGAGTGAAGGGAAGAAGTCCAGGGAGCAGCCATCAGTGCTCAGCCGCTACCCTCCAGCTGCTCAGGAGCACAATAAAGTTTGGAAAGGCACTCCCAAGCCGGGCACTGAGAGTGGGATGAAGGGGAAAGTAGAGAAGACAACACGGACATTTAATGATGCCACCCATGGATCTATTCCCAATGACATATTGTGCAGAGCTGACAAGGCTTCTGACACCTCCACTGAGGCGCTCTTTGGCAAGAGGGGGCAGGCGCCTAGCAATGGAAGCCAAGTAGCTCAGGCCGCAGACTCTGGCAGTTCTAAGGCCCTTGGCGCTCTGGCCTCATCTCGAAGATCTTCCTCAGAAGGGCTCTCTAAGGGCAAAAAAGCTGCCAATGGTTCAGAGGCTGATACCAGTTCTTCCAATTCCAAGGCTCCGCTTTCATCAAAGTATCCTTATGGCTCCAGAAGCCAAGAGAACATCCTTCAAGGTTTTTCAACCCCAAATAAAGGAGTTGATCAGCCTGTAGCAGTTGTGATGGAAGACAGCAGTCAGCATGAGGCCCTACGATGTCGGGTCATCAAATCTAGTGGCAGGGAGAAGCCAGACTCGGATGATGACATGGACATGTCTCTTGTTACCGCCAAGTTGGTAAACACAACCATCACCCCAGAGCCAGAGCACAAACAACAGCCTAACTTTAGAGAAACAGCCAAATCCCGAGGGGGCCTTAGAACAGCCCTGTCGGAGGATGAGAAAGATGTCGGGACAGAAAATGAACCTGTGAAACCTGTCAGAGCCTCCACCAATACTGTGGAATTCCCAGAGGCCAATGGTGCTGGAGTAAAAAGTCAGAGGCCCTTCAGTCCCAGGGAGGCCTTGCGGTCCAGAGCTGTCATTAAACCTGTCATCATTGATAAAGATGTGAAAAAAATCATGGGAGGGTCTGGAACCGAGGCCACATCGGAGAAACCAACATCCACCTCCAAACCAGGCCCAAACAAAGTGACAAGCAGCATCACTATCTACCCCTCTGACAGCAGCAGCGGCGGCAGCAGCCCGAGAGCCGCCCCAGCTGAGGCCCCGCGCGAGAGGCACACGTCCACCAGCAATATCCAGGTTGGGCCATCAGACCTCACGCCAGTGAGCAACCATGGCAACCCCCCCTTTGAGCTCTCCATTCACAAACATGACATCACCTTACAGTTCACAGAGGCTGAAAGAATGGGAGATGGGTCCCTGAAGAACAGGCCGGAAACAGTGGTCTCTCGGAGCAGCATTATAATCAAGCCATCGGATGTGGTGGAGAGGAATAACCATGCACCCCCTGCAGAGACAATCCGGTGGAAAGGCCACAGTGCCCCTCCAGAGGTGAGCCCTTCAGAGGCCAGGCACGTTACTGTGCGGAACGCTTGGAAGAGCAGGCGAGATTTGAACTCTTTAGAAGATCCCCCAACTCAGATAGGTAAAAGCGTGGTGTCCACCAATGCCTACACCCAGAGGTCTTCTACAGACTACTCAGACCTTGGGCAGCCCAGGCCTTACCTTTCGGAGCAGGGAACTCGAAGGGTCGGAAACCCGGGGGGTGCCCCTGAGCTCTCTCCTAGAAGGACCCAGAGTAGCCTCACTGTGTCAGAGATGCTCCCTCGCCGGAACCGGGTGGGAGATGCTGTCACGGCTGCGGCTTGGAACCATGTGGCAGGCCCGGTAAGTCCCACTTCTTTCCCCACTTCAGCCGTCCCTTCCCCTTCCCTTTGCCCCCTTTCCCTGGCTTGTGTGACTCAGGATCATGGAGACCATGGGGCTGGGAAACAGTGAGTAGCTCACATGGCTGTTGAAAATAAGGCAGGTTTGCCCTTAGACAATAAAGTACCTTGCGAAAGGTATTTGACAGAGGAGCATGAATTTCCAGAAATCATTTTTCAGTTTGTCTCCTTATTTGTCTTCATGTGTGCAGGCCTCCAAAAAGGAGAGGGCCTGTTTTCTTGGGTTGCCAGAGTAGCCAAAGGAGCTCCCCTTCTGGCTCCACAGAGCAGCACCTAGAAACAAGAAACAGCTGCAGGGAAGCTCTGAGTAAGGGAAGCCCAGGCCCTTTCTGTAGAGCAGAGATGGAGCCGGGAAACGAATTCTTGGCTGCATTAGCCCAGAGGATCTTTGCCAGCTGCTCGCATGTAGGGCTGGGGAGGGGAACCTTTTTTCTGTCTAGGGCTATTTGGATATTTATAACACCATTTGAGGGCTATGAAAATTATTAACCTAAAAGTTAACCTGCTATATTTAGTCAGACATCTAACTCGCCTGTAATGTCTTGGCAGGGCCAAAGTGCTTTGGCGGCCTTATTCGGCCTGAGGGCCAAACCTTCCCCACCCCTGATGGAGGGCTGAAGAGAGCTAGGGCTTACAATGGGCCTACTTTATAGGCTTTATGCCTGTGCATCTTTTTGCGCCAGATACCTGCCAAGCCATTGTATCATTAGTCTGAAGGTAGGGCTGGTTCCTGTAGGTAAATCCAGAAGCTGCTTCTCATTTGAGGGTCAGACTGTCAGAACAGCATTTGAAGGGGAAGCCACTGGGAATATCTTTTAGATGTTGGAGCCTGTGATGATGACATTTTGGATCTAGGCATTATGACTATACTAGAGGCTCAGTGCAAAGATTTGTGCACCAGTGGGGCCCCCCTCGGTCTGGCCTGTGCCCTCCCACTATCTGGGACCCCTTAGGGATGTCTGACTGCCGGTTTTGGCCAAATCCCCACAGGCCAGGCTGAGGGACCCCACCAGTGCATGAATCTGTGCACTGAGCCTCTAGTATGCAAGAAAGATCTTTAGTCAATCTCTTCCCTTCCTTCCCCTTCTCCTCTTCCCTCTGAGATTCATCAGTCTGTTCCATGTTTCCATGCCTGTGTGTTGAGTGTCTGCCCTCTGTTGGTCAGTGTGTGTCATAGCTACTGGGCTAACAGTTGCTTAGGCATATATATATAATATATATATATGCAACTGTTAATATATTATATATTAACTGTTAATATATATATATATATATATATATATATATATATATGCCTAAGCAACTGTTAATATGATAAATGTTAACACTTGACAAAGCACTTCTCCACCTACTTACCTCATTCAGTCTCTCCAACAGCTACAGGCAGGTTTTATCTCCATTTTTTTAGATGTAGAAACTGAAGGTCAATGACAGAAAGCACCTTATCCAAGGCCACCCAAGGGAAATACTGAAAGAACTAAGATTTGAATCCAGGATTCCTCTAAGTGCACTCTTCTTTGTACCCTGCCATCCTTTCTCACTCATACTTGTGTCTTTTGATCTTAATTTTTGCTTTGGAGCACCAAAGCAAAACATTAACAAGGCAGAAGTCTGATAAAAGAGCAGTGGAGTGAAAGATGGGTGTCTAGCTCTCTGGAACTTTGGCTGTCTGACATACGATGAAGGTATGTGATGAGGAGAGAGAGGATATGGCATATAAAAGGGGAGGCATGTGACTTATTGGTGGGAAGTAGGAAAAGCGCTGTCCAGCTTGTTTCAGCATACTTCCTGCCTCCCTACCAAGGAAACGGCTCTGACCCTGGAGCATGCAGTCTTCCTGTGCAGAACTAGAGGACACTGGCTACTACTTACAGTTACCACTCCCATGGCCCCATTCCTGGCCCTGTACTCTGCAGGGCTCCTGTTCATTGTGAACTCCCAGTATCCCCCAGGAGTTCCTAGATTGGAGTTTGCGGTCTACTCTGATTTCCAAGGAACTTTGCTGGTGTCTGGGCTAGATCGCTCTCTGCCAGGCTGGATATAGGGACAGGGATGGAGGTATCTTTGTGACTCACTATATTGTCTTCCACATCTCACTTTTGTTATCTATTGGCACAGGAGGAAGGCGATGACTGCACAGTCAATGTCTACAGGCGACCACACAGCTCCATGGAACGGCCTGAACTGCCCGTGAAGCAGGGGCTGTCAGAGCCTGGGCAAGTACAGGCTGAGGAACGGTTACGACCAACTAGGCCTTGTGCTGAGGAAAACTGAGCCAGCCGGGGGAGGTCGTCTGTGTCCTCTGCTCCTGCTCAGCTCTTCCACCTTCCCATCCTATGAAGGATTCCGGGCCAGTTAACTGGGCTAGACACAAGGCCTTGGCTGGGAGATTGTGGCAGAAAGCCAGGCTGTGGCTCAGGTCATTTTTGCCGTGTGGCCAATGGAGATACAAGCTGGACAGTCACCCAGGCCCAGCCTTCCCTGATTGATGCATGAGTCCTCTCTCCTTGTCCCTGCCCTGTTCCCAGTAGAATCGGCCACTCTGGCCACAAATAGGGAATGATATAGAAACTCCTTATATCCTCACCACACAATAGTCCCTTCCACGCAGTTAATGTTCTTATTTCTTGGTCTCCTCACCACATCCAATTCACTCCGTCTGCCCTAGGGACCTAAGACTTACCAGCCGTCAGCTCCATTTAGGGAGCTTCCATTCCCTTCCCTTTGGAACTCCTTAGACTTTTACCAGAGAGGTCTGTGCTGCCTCTAGGGGATTATGGGACTATGACCTGGCCCCCTTGCTGACCACTGTTTCCAGGAGGCAGAGCACATAGGTACCTGCCCACCTATTGGAATGACATCATCCATTCTCTGATCCCAGCTCTCAGCTCATCTTCCAAAGGCACCTGGAAGTGCACAAACCTCATGCATCTCCTTCCCTGGGCACCAATAATGCTACTGGCATTGCCTGCTTTTCCTGTGGCTGGAGACTTCACGCTGACTTTGTTTCCACCTTTGGAATATTCCCCGACTAAACTGGGCCTGACCCAGCATACTCTGCCTTCTAGGAAGCGCCTCGCAAAGGGGAAAGTGGACAGGAAGAAGCACTTTCCCATTAATCACTCCACAAAGCAATAGCTCCGTGAAAGGCCTGGACTCTGTTCCTCCTCTCCATCCCTTAGGGAGGAGGTATCGCACTTTACCAAGCTGATGCATTCCTACAGAAGTGGGCCCGTGATTCCTGCAAACCAACTGTCATGGTGACTTCATGTGAGGAAAGGTAACACATGCCCATCAAGGGCCCCAGATTTATACAATTCAGAAAGCCACATAAATAAAAATGGATCAGTTTTCTTTACCCTTCACACAGGGAAGTTAAAAAGAACCATATAATCTTGACATTGCTATTTTTATAGCATTCTCAGTTCCAAAAAGGGATCCCCTTTCAAAGTCTACCTTTATGAAGCAGACAGTTCCTTCATAGTGAAAGAGCATTACAGTAGGAGTCAGGAAAGCTATATTTTCTTAATGGCTTTGTATTTTGCCTCCGTTCCCATATCTATGAGTTATTTGAAATGGTTTCTAGGTTCCTAAATCTGGCATTCTCTAAGACCCTTCTTTTTCCATCATCCCACTGGGTGGTGATGGTGTGATTCTTGATTTTGTAGAGTGTCAGTCATCCAAATGGGTTTGGGGAATGTGTCCTGTGATGGTTTTCCTGGGCCTTTAATTGTGAGGGTAAGCTCAGAGAAGCTCCGTTGACTTCATTTTCCAGTCTGTAAAATGGAGAGATGGATGGTCTCGGCACCAAAGCCATACAGTATCTCCTGCTTGCACTTCCCGTAACACCAGTTGGTGTGCCTCCTTCTTGAGTCATTTTTTCTGCCTTCTCTCAGTGTGGGAATCAGTGTTCATCCCCATGTCTGCATCAGACTTGGCAGTGCTGGGGCTTGGGGAGCACATATTGTCCTTTCAGGGACAGGAATGTTCTCCCATTTCCATTTTCTGGAGTTTTGCCAATCTAAAGGCATAGTCATGATGCTTGTCTTTACTTCACATTGCTGCCTCAGATGTTCAACTAGATGCAATTTTCAAAACCCCTTCCTCCTGGCTTCTCCTGGGTCACCAGTCAGATTAGCTTTCTCAAGGCTGCAACCTCTCACTTACAGCCTCCCTACCATTCTTCACTGGTTGGCAACCCTGACAGTCTAAAGGAAACTGTCTTCTATTGGTGGTCAGCTAAGGAAAGTCTGTGGCTCTTTTCTGCTGGTAGAAACATGAGTGCCAAGCCATGCCTTCAAAGTTCTCGCTGATAATTCTCATCTTGGGCACTGGAGCCCTGGATTCTGGTGCTGCAGCTCCTGGTGCCAAAGTCTGGATCTTTTCCCATTTCAGCAACATCAACATCTGCCGCAACCCAAAATGCTCTGTGGAAGAGGGACAGCTCCGATACTCTCTTGCTGGGGCGGCTATCTTAAAATCTGAGTGCAATAAGGTTTGATTGTACCAGTTATTTCAGGATATTTTGTTTCATCTGCACATTTTCTAGAACTGCTGAAAAATAGATTCTAAAGGAATGTCCTCAGCATTACAGAAAATACCATTTGTAATAGCCTGTTAAGGCTATATGCTCAGTTATCTTAGGCTTCAAATGGCTGGCAAGGCTGGCTCTAGATTCCAAAGTTGGAAGACATGTTTTTGAAAAGCAACCTAGGTGAGACCATGTGGACCCAGGCCTCCCCATCAGGGTTTCTGGGAGAAACATCCAAATAAAAGGGAGACCTGGTAGTTGAATAGTTGTCTAATCAAGCCAAATATTCCCCGTCTCAGCCAATGAACCCACTTTATGATAGGCCTTTTCTGCAGCTTAGCTCGAACTTTCAATTTACCTGGCAGGTATGTGGTTGTAGGGGGGTCCTAGTGAGGTGGGGAACCTGGCTCTCCAGAGCTGCTTTGCTGGGGGAAGTACGTGCTTTCGCCTGTCTCTTGCCGTTCTGGTATTAGAAACAGCTGGAGAAAGCTGCAGGGATGTGGGCAAAAGGAAGCAGTGGCTGTTCTTGCCTTGGAGTGGCAATGAAACAGTTACAGTGTGGGTTACAGGGATTTGCAGTGGGGCCAAGGATTCCAACCTTGTCCACAAGCAAGATTGCACATAAACCAACCCCCTCTCATGGGGTGTGAGGGGGTCTATATTGATCTTGGACTTACCATCTTAGAGCAGTTTTAAGTTCATTATATTTAGTGGGTTAGTGCCAAGTGCTACCACTTTCCAATAAAGGAACGGGGACCCAGCCTCTGGTCTGGTCCCCAGCTGCCTTTTTTGGCGTGGGTTTTTGTTTGCTTTTGGTTGTTCAAGACTGCTTTGGAAGAGCTGCTTTTAGGGATTATCTTTGGAATACCCTGAGTGGGGAACAGGGTTCTCCTCAAAGCCTCATAACCAAGATCATAGGAAAGGGGCCCCATCTTCCTGCTGCTTCACAGCTCAGAACAATGTACTGAATGGAATGTATTTTTAAGAGAATAAAGTCTATTTTTTGTATTTTAAAGATTGGGAGGGCCGGGAAGTAGCCCTCAGAAATTGCTATTACATTACTTGTTGGTCCACACTTACTTGCTCAGGCAGGTGCTCGGGCCTCTCCCCGGCCCTTGGAGTCTAGGTGCAGCAGCTTCTACATTCCTGCTCCAAGCATGGGACCAAGGAGGACGGAACCCTGTCGCTGGAAACCAGGGCGAAGCCATGAGCAGTGACTCAGGGCTCCTTGGGTGCATGTGTATAGTTGAAGCTGCCTGTCTGCATGTATCCTCTGGCTCTAATGCTGTCTGTTGGCTCTGCAGCACAATATGTAACCAATAAAGCTCCCTAGTTTCCATGTGTGTGAGTCAGTGATGCCATTATTGTTGCTGTCATCTCTAGCATACAACTGTTTCTATGTGTTGGTGCAGCTAGTGTATTTCACTGTATTTAAAACTCTCAGCCAATTACTGGTGCTGTAAAGACTGGAAACATAGCTGAGGCTTAGTAAATAATGTATCTAGAAGCCAAAACTGAATTGGTATTAGAATCATACAGCACCTATTTTATTGCTACATTTTATTTTTAGGCTTGTCACACACAAAACAATCTTTTCTTAAGCTGCCTATGCCATCTATTTAAAAAACAAACTTAGAAGCACCTAACTGATTCAAACACCTTAACCACCCCCCTCCCTGTCCCAAGGTAACAATATTAATGGCAGAGCTGGGCTCCAAAGTCCTCATACCTTCCACTGTATGCTGTTCTCACCTTTACATCCGATAACCACTTGCCCTGATCCTGGTGTGCAAAATTTCCTAATTACTGTCACTCATTCTAAAACCAGGGAAAAAGCCCTCCAGTCAGACCACCAATACAATGTCTCTTAAAACTTGCTAAGAAAAAACCTCATTTAGGGAAGAATTCACTAATGCAAGTTAAATCCAATTTCTAGAAACAGATTATACGCACACATTTAGTCTGCTAAGAACCCTTTTGGTAAGGAATAGGCAGACATTCTGGTCCTACAAGTCTTTACCTTACGTGGCAAAAGGGGCTTTGCAGATGTGATTAAAGAATTTGAAATGTGGGAGATGATCTGGGCGGTCCATCAACAAAATCACGTCTCCTGAGAGAGAGAGAGATGGAGGGGGATCGAAAGACGCGGAGATCGATGGAGGAAGGGGCCATAAGCCAAGGGTACAGACAGCCCCTAGAACCTGAGAAAGGCAAGGAACTAGGATCTTCCCTCAGAGCTTGTTGGTAACTTACAACAGGAAATTAATACACAAGTGAAGTTACCCAAAAGCTTGAACCGCTCCTTTTGTAGAACTTGCCAAAACTTTATACAGTACCCTGGATAGAAGTACAGTTAGCACATACCCATGGAGGGAATCTGGAGAATAAAGCCAGGATGGTCTGTAGAGATTACCCAAATTTTGCGTTGTCTTGTGTTTATCTTGAGAATTCAAAGTTTCCCAATCTCCATATGTTCATGCGTTTGGCACATAGTCACCCTCCAACTCCAGTGGGGAAATCTAGCCTCACAGACCAGGAAGCCCATTATTCTACAGGAGCCCTCTCAACCCTACATTCTTACCAAGTCATTTTTCTCCTTTACACAAACATCCTCATGTAAACACAGATAAAATGAACAACTCCAATGGAGTAACACCCCTGTCTTGTATACGGCTCTAACTCTAAGGGAAAACAAAATAGATAGGACTAATTTTATATGAAGTTTTATTCTCAAAATATAAAAAAACCTACCACACACCAAGAGATTTAAGACGCTCTCTCATAGCACTTGCTTGCCTCAGTCTTGGAGAACATACACTTCCACACTATAATGGACAAGTGCCTTCATCCCTGGCTCTAAGTCACTCAAAGGAGACAACCTCCTTGAACTTCGGCAACTGACCGGAAGCCCAAAAGCCAGGGCAGGTTTCTCAGGAATCTATTGCTAGAAGAACTTTGCTTACACAGCAAAAGACACACAGTTGGCCTCTTCCCTTAGGATGCATTGGTTTCAAAGGCTTGGGGACTGCTGTGCGGGGACACCTGGTGTGGCCTGGCGAGGTAGGGTATACATGGCTCCCAAGAACTGGTCTGCAATCCTTCCTGCTTCTCGGAGGCCACTCAGCAGAGCACCATGGACAGTGGCTGGGTAGTTACGGATTGTGTGTTCTCCAGCAAAGAAGAGTCGTGGAATTGGCTATTTCAGGAAGAAAGTTAAGAGAAAATCAGCACATTGCAAATACACCTTTGTTACTGTGTTAAAACTTCCACATTTCTGTTGGCCTTTGAAGCTGAACTCACCCACCCCCAAATCATAGCCCATCACTACCAAAAGGGTCTCCCTTAGGAGCAGGAGTTTTCTTAGAACTGACAGAACTAGGAGGGGACAAAGCTCAGCCCAGTCTTAGTTCCAGAGTGATACCTAATTGCACCTGTTCTTACACTCCAGTAACTGGGGACACCTGGTTCTAAAGCCGACTTCGCCTCATGTAGGACCTCCTGGAGGTGGGGTGACTGCCCCGAACCGGAGCACACAGCACTGTTCTCTCACTCAGAGCAGGTCTTCCTTAGCGCAGGGTCCTGAGAATACTTACTCCTCTTGGGAGCAGGGTCAGGCATCATGTAGGTAAGAGCCCAAAATCATTTCTCAGGGGCATCCCCTGGAGATCCCTAAGTGATTGGGAGCCTGCAACAATCGTATGAACCATTACAAAATGGGGTGCAATTAAAAACACCTTTTGTTTTATAGGAACAAAAATCTGAATACAGGCGGTTTAGATTTAACAAAGCCAAAATATGAGAAATCTGACACAAAAGATACTGCTCCTCCCTTTTCCTCTGCTCTGGGTTATTTGAAAGGGTCGAATGAGTAAGTCTGTAACAATCAGTGGCATTTTCACCCTAAGAACCTGGGATACTGGTCTCTTCCCGAATAAGCCCAGATACAGTTGGTTAGTGTCTCACCTGTGGGGCACCAGGGATTGAGGGGCCAGGAGTGATTGGCTGAGCCATTAAATCATAGTCATTCCCAGAGGATCCTGCAGCCACATAGGAATAGGAGCCCCGAGCCCAGGGATCGGCACGCCAGCGGGACACCACTGTTTCCTTGGGCTGCAGAAAAGACCAGGGCAGAGTTACTACTGGACACCAAGGACAACCCAGTAATGCATCTTAAAGGTGGAAAATTGTGGTGAGTGGGGATACAAGTTCTGAGAGAGCTGAAGAGGAAACAAACATGAGAGCCAAGTGGTGAATGCTGATGCTTTAAAATATATAACACAGAATGCCTTCTGACTGCAAGGAAGCCTCCAACTTGCACTCTTTTTTTAAAAATTATATTTTATTGATATTTTACAGAGAGGAAGGGAGAGAGAGAGAGCTAGAAACGTCGATGAGAGGGAAACATCGACCAGCTGCCTCTTGCACACCCCCTACCGGGGATGTGCCTGCAACCAAGGTACATGCCCTTGACTGGAATCAAACCTGGGACCTTTCAGTCCGCAGAGACCTACCAAGGACTTGATCTAAATTCTCTTACCTATTCACATGAAGTATTAATATACCTCCTTTCAAAGGAATCAAAAGGGTCTATAAGTATTTCAATGGGCCTGAAGAATAGAAAAAAGTGCCAAAAGATTCTCTTAAGACTTCCCTGGGGGAATTTGGCCACTTTGAAAGGTGGGGTGTGGTGGTGGCAAGATTCCAAAAGCCGAGATGACAGACAAGAGGACAAATGCAACAAATAACTCTGAATCCCACACTTAACATTAGCATTAATGTAAATCCATACACACTTCTCAATTCTGGCTGAAACTCCTGACCAAGTACCTGTGCTCAAACTTAAGAGAAGATGTCAGACGTGTCTTTTGTCCAAATCCCAGATCCCGCTTGTCCCCACTCACTTACCTGGGGCACTGCACTGCTACCAAAAATCCCTTTGAGAATGGCCAGGCATCGGCCTACAATCACATCATCACTTATGTTTTCCATAATGCCAGCAGCTTCTCCTGCGACTAGTGCCAATAGTATCGGAGCTAGGGAAACAGAAAGGACAATTCCAGGGTTTTCCTACAGACTTTTCTCAAGAACCTCCTTAATGGGCCCATTATTCTTGGTGCCCTGAAATCTGACAACCAATACACATGCACCACTCAGCTCCAGACAAGTTGTTTCTGAAAAGGTAACTTGAAATCTATCCCCAGAAGAAAGCTGGCAAACTATAGTGGTGACTCATGTACTCCATTGCAGAATGTGGAAGTTCAGATAGCATTTCAGACCTTGTTAACGAAGAAGACAAGTATCCCTATGGTGAGACCAAGAATTCTTAGCCCTGCTCACTGGAGACAGCTCCACCCTTACTCATCTATTTGGTGAATATGCAAGAGACTTAAGGGATAACACAGTGGATGCTGGGGACATAAAAACAATAAACAACTAGTCCTCAGACAAATATCACAGGTATATAATTATGAACTGTGATAGAAGATATTGGAGGAAAACACAGGCTACAGAGAAAACAATACTGAGAATTTAGATTTGAAGCAGTGGAGTGTATCTTGTAAGTCCTCTTTGAAACGGTGACATTTAGGTGAAGACCAGAAGGCTGGGTAGAGTAAGCTGTGTTGGGAAGGAAGAGGAGGAGAAAAATAAAAGCTCCCCAGGATCAGTATTTCAGGGCAAAGGCCCTGAAGTAGAAACCAGCATGGTGCAATCCAGGATTCCAGGAGAGCAGCAAGGGTGCCTGGAGCCCAGAGAGTGGGGAGGGGTGAGGATGGGCTGGGAGGAAGCTGAAGGACAGAAGGGCTGGGTTATGCGGGCCTTCTTAATAATGGCCAAGATAATGGAAAGCCCTCGAAAGATAGAAGCAGGGATAGCAGTTAGTGGCTGCTGGCAAAACTAGAAAGCAGTAACCTTTAAAAAAGTTGTAGACGAGGAAAAGGTAAGAGAAGAGAGCGGCTTGGACTGGGGGGTGGGCAGTCAGAAAGAGGAGCAGTAGGTCTGAGAGACGCAGCGCTGACAGGACTTGACAGTGTGGCTGGGGAAGGGGAAGAGCACTCGGCTGCTGTCAGAAAGCACTGTGCTCAGGGAACAAAGTGCCTCCTCGGGAGTGGTGACCCTGGCCACGAGGAGGATGCTTTAAAGGCAGGCAGTGAGGAGCGACGGACAGAACTGGGGTGGGCGTCAAGCTGTTCACTGATGGGTCTACACTGTCAAGGCCATGCCTATGGTACTGCTGCACAGTACACGTCCCACATTCTTTTCCTGGATGGGGTAGAGTCCAGATATGCTTTCTTCTTAAAGCTCTGTATAGGAATGGGAGCAATCTAAAAATGTACAGAAGAAAGTACAACTGGAGTTTCATAAATACATTCTAAGGGAAGTTATTAAAGACTCAGGGGTGAGTCAGGCATGAAAGTGTGAGAATGAGAAAAACACATTTCCCCTTCCAGGAAGCCTCCCTGGGCTCATCCTGCTGGCAGGGCGGATCCTTCCTTTTGTGCTTTCTTTGGCAGCGCTCGGGGCTTTCACCCTGCCATCTCCTTACCACCCTGTTCTGAGACTACCTACCTCCTCATTCTATCCCCCACAAGTTAGTTGTGAGCTCCTTAAAGAAAGGTTTTATCCCCAGCATCTATAAGGGATTTCAGGAATTGTTTATATATAGTGTTAATGAAAAATCAAGACACACACACACACACACACACACACACACACACACGAGAAAAGCCAGAATATTCCTAATTCTGTATTCCTTTAAGGGTATGAGAAAGCAGTTACCTTTATAGAGGTTCCAGAAGAGGAAGAGCTCACCCCTGCTGGCAGTCGTGCTGCCGACATGCCCGAACAGATTGACACTTGGATCCCAGAACACCCGGTCAAAACACAGCACCACCTGTCACAAAAGCAGCAGAGCTGGCAACAGGGCTCCGAGAATATGGCTTTAATCACAGCTGTGCCTCAAAAGAAAGTTCTTTTTCTTCAGACATTATTTAAATTTCTTCTAATCTTTTTAAAAAATAATTAAAAATATTTTTACTAATTTCATAGAGGAAGGGAGAGGGAGAGAGAGAAAGAGAGAGAGAAAAAAACATCAACGATGAGAGACAAGTATCAATGGGCTGCCTCCTGCACACCCCACACTGGGGATCGAGCCTGCAACCTAAGCATGTGCCCTGATCAGGAATCGAACTGTGTCCTCCTGGTTCATAGGTTGATGCTCAACCACTGAGCCATGCCGGCCAGGCTAATATACTTTTACTATACGTCTAGAAATCCTTATTACAAATTTATTACTTAGAATGACATTTAGCTCTCTTTTTATAGGCTTGGGTTTGTGAAGTGACCTCAGAAGACTACGTTCTCAAAGATACTTTATGCATAATTAGGCAATGAAGTGAATGAACGGACATAACTCACCCTATATCAGAATTGAGAGCACAAGATGTATGCAAATGCAAACCCTCCTGTCCGAGTGGAGGGCAGCTAGACCGGTACTTGTACAGTGGGCACGAGAGAGGTGTCGAGGGCAGGTTACCTTGTTAAGGTTGCCAAATCCCATCCTCTGAACTGCAGACGTTTTCCACTCGGGAAGAGGTGGCACGAACTGTACAGCTGGTGGCTGCTGCTTCAACACACCCAAGGGGAGGGTACAGAGAACCGCATCACACTTGTAAATAAAGGTCTGGCTGGTGGAGCGGGTATTCACAGCTATCACTTCACATCCTACAGGGGTTTGAGGGAAAAGACGTCACTGGTGAGGAGGATGGCACTGATGAGGACAGCAGGCTCTATATGCCATCCCAGTTAATTCTTCACACAAGTCGATGGAGTTGGTTCTGTCCACTACTTATAGAAAGAAACTGGGGCAGAAGTGAAATTTCAACACAGGTAATAAGTGCCAGAACTCAAATCCTAATGCTCGGGTCCTTGATCTCCACCACTGTACCATCTTACCTGCCTGATACAGAGATCCTGGACTAGTAAAGGACCCGATCACCTACTAAGGCCAAGTAAATTTAGACCAAAATTTAGAGTAAAATGTCTGTCCCAAGAGAACCAATAACTCCTCCAGTGTGGGCAGGAGCTTGCACACAGGGACAAAGAGAAGAATGATGGCAGAAGCCTGCGGTGCAGACCCAAGGGATGTGGCTCAGAACTGTGGATGCACTGTGATGCTTAGGTTGCCAGAACACGAATGAGCTCAAAGCTGGCCCCAGAAAAGGCACTGAAAGTAGGTTCATCCTATTTATTCTCATGTGAGCTTGATGTTTTTCTTCATTGAATGCCTATTTATATATCTTCAAAACTATACATAAATAGTTCAATCGGTATGAGATCTCATTACATGTCCACTTTCTTTCTTTTTTTAAAATCCTCACTGAGGATTTTTGTTTTAAAGAGAGAGAAAGGGGAAGTGAGGAGGGAGAGAAGGAAAGGGAGGGGAAGAGAAACATCGATCGGTTGCATCCATAAGCACCCTGACCAGGGATTGAATCCACCACAGCTCAGGTATGTGCCCTGACTGGGAACCAAACCCACAACCTTGAGGCTCCAACCCACTGAGCCACCCAGCCAGAGCCACGCCCCTTTTCTGTGGTCACAGAACTAGAGAAAATGAAGAAAAGCTCCTCATTATTCTTCATCTGCAGTGCAAATGAAGCGGTAGATCTTTTCAACATCAGCTAGAAGCTGCCTCTGAAGGGAAAATTTAAATGGGAAATGGTTTCAGCAGTTACAAAAAAAGTACTGTGGCGATCTCAAAAACTCTAGGAAAGGGGCCATGGAGGGCAAGATTAGTGGCCACATTCCCATTTGTGATGGGGGCCCTCAGAGAGGGGGGGACTAGTTACCATGAGGAGTTCAGGATTATTAATTCCAAAGGCGGGTAGACAATGGACTCTCTGCACCTCTTATTAAATGCACCTCAGACCAGCAATAATGAACACTGAGCCTAAAGTCACAGTTTCAGGGCAATCAGGAGCCCACGTGTTAGCAGGACTGCTCCCAGAACTAGAAAGCAGCCTGAGCCGTTAGTCCACCCGCGTAGGAAAAGCCAGAATGGACCCAAAGACCCTGCTGCAAGATGAAATGTAGGGTGGGTTCCACCGGAGACGAGGGGCCCAAGTTTTGGAATTTAAGAATATACTTAGCAAAATTAAAGCCAAACTTACTGGCTGCTATTATAATATCAACTAATTCATGTGCAGTTTGTAAACTAAAACTTGCCTCTATTTTCTGGTTTATATAATGATGGGGTCAGAATCTCCAAAGGCTCTATGGGCTCAATCCTTTAGTAAATGGCAAACTTTAGAATTTAGGAGACGTGTTTGTCAGACATTGTATCAGGAAATGACCTAATACTTTTTCTATAGTTCCAACTCAAAACAGCATCGTGTACTCTCTCACCAGTAAGCAACGACATACCTGAAGCTGTGTAGCGAACCTGCCGAACTGCCGTATTCAGTTTAATATCTAGACCTTCTGCCAACGCCACAGGCACACAGGAGTAGCCATTCCTCACTGTCAGGTGGCTGCCAGTAAACTCAAAGTCATCATCCTAAAGAGGAGAGAAAAGGACATATTTTCACACGTTTAACATCTAATTTATCTATTTATACTGAGTTCTGTAAAATAAGGCTAAAAACACCAACTTGTGGAAACTGTCACTATAACGCAGAAATGAAAAACAATCACTCCAGCACAGCCAGTGTGGCTTAATGGTTGAATTTTGACCCATGAACCATGGTTTTCTCTCATCACTGATGTTTCTCTCTCTCTCCCCCTACTTTCGTCTCTGAAATAGATAAAAATACATTGTGTTTTTTTTTTTTTTTTAAAAAAAACAACAACAACCCAATCACTCCATATTCAACTACAGCTGCAGCAGAAAACCAAAGGAAGAAGAAAAAAAAAATGCTCAATGCCCATAATGTGAAAGTAGGGCAGTTTCTTTTTTCCCTAGATAGAGATGTATATGTGTTTTTAAAAATTTTTTATCTAAGGGGGGGGGGGAGGGGGAGAGAAAGAGAGAGAGAGAAGGAGAGAAAGAGAAACATTGATGAGAGAGAACCACTGATTGGCTGCCTCCTGCACACCCCCTACTGGAGGGTCAACCCCGTGATCCAGGCACGTGTACGTGTCTGACTGCGATTCGAACCATTGGTGCAGGGGTCTATATTCAAACACTTAGCCACAACAGCTGGGCTAGACAAGTTTTATCATCAAATCTAGACTATTCATGGGGGTAGGAGAGGAAAGAAAGCTGATTCAGTAAATTCAGACAATTAGGCACCTTTTTTTTTTTTTTTTTTAAAATATATTACAGACTTGGTAGGATATCAGATTCACCAACCTAATTACGTTTTCTTTAACACAAGAGCAAACTCCATTTTTATTCCTTAAACTAATATGTTTTAAAGTTGAGGGAAATTTCCTAAACTAAAGTCAGATGAAGGCAATCTAGGATTGTAAAGATTGACCCAACATGATTTATATAGTAACGAAGTCAAGATTTGGCCTGGAAATTACCCAAATGATCTAATTTCTTTGAATTTACTAAAAAATTTTCTATGTAGAGAAACTTTTGAAGGCTAGTGAATATTTTTGATTTCATGAGATTCCTGGGGAAAACATACCACAACTCTTAGGAACTAGATAAAAATACTGGGTTGAGAGCAGAAATACTAAATGACTGACTCATCTGCTCCTCTATGGATCAGTTCAAATTACCCACACTTAAAAACTTAATACAATTACAAATAGATACATATTGAAACTTCAAATGATAAATGAGTTATTAGGAAGGTCTAATTTAGTCTTTACATGAAAAACCACAAAGAAACTGGGAACTTTGAAAGATTTTTTTACCACTAACAAGTTCAATCCTCACTGTAATTCAAGTACTAAAGAATACCAAGATATAATCTAAAGATTAAGAAGTAAAAATAATCTTACTAGGAAAATGTATAATGAAAATAGAAGTGTAATGTTTACTTCTACACAGTCTTAAGTCAGGCCAAAGTCTCAGACTTAGAGATTGGTCCATTCTAGCATCTAAGAAGCCCTGTGACTTCTCACCAATTCAAGAGTAAATCACCATAATAATACTTAAGAATAATGTGACAAAATATTTTATCATGCTCAAGGACTAGAAGTCAAAAGGAAGATGATAATCACTCTAAATCAGATCTATAGATTCAATGCAATTCCAAACTCACAGAAGTTATTTTTTTAATAGAAATTGATAAACTGATTCTAAAATGTTTATGGAAATACAGAATAAAAAATAGCCAAAAACAATTTTAAAAAAGAACAAAGCTGAAGAACTTACGTTACCTGATTTCAAGATATAGATCAAGGCAGTATGAAAGTGGAATATGGATAGATAAATGAACAGATTCACACATGGTCAACTGATTTCAACAAAGATGCCAAGACAAGTGAAGAAAAGGACAGTGCTAGAACAATTAGATAGCCATTTGGAAAAATGTGAGCTGTAACCTCACCTCTCACTGTACACAAAAATGAACTAAAATGGATCACAGACCTAACATAAAACTTTATGAAGAAAACTGGAGAAAATTTTTGCGACCTTTGTTTAGACAAAAAATGTTCAGGTTTTTTACAAAACACACAAAGCTTGAAAGTTAATAAAATAGGACACTCATAAAATTTAAAACTTTTGCTCTTTTAAAGATGCCATTTATAATATAAGAAGGCAAGTGTGCTGAGGAATTGTAGAAAATACTTGCAAAACATAAATCTGACAAACTGTATCCAGAATCTAAAGAACATGATGAACTCTCACAATTTAACAAGATGACAATCAGATTTTTTAAATGAAAAAAAGATCTGAATAAACTTTTCATAAAAGAACTGACATATCCATGAAAAGATGCTTCAGATCACCAATCATCAGGAAATAAAAATTAAAACAACAATTAAACATTAGAATGGCTAAAATTTTTAAACTGGCAGGACCAAGTGTTGGTGATAATATAGAGCAACTGGAACTTCCATACATTGCTGGTGTGAATGCAATTTGGAAAACAGTTTAGAAGTTTCTTATAAAGCTTTATAAAAACTTACTTTCCATAAGATTCAGCAACTTCACTCCTACTAATCCAAGAAACACATGAATGTTCATAACAACTTCAATCATTATAGCCAAAATGGAAACAACCCACATGTCCATCAATGTACCAATGAAAAGACAATCTGTGGCATCCTATATAATAAAGAGATAATATACAAACTGACCACCACACCCTCATAAGATGGCTGCCTTGACTAACTGAACAAGCAGGCCGCGTGGGACGACCAGGCGTGGTGTGTGTGTGTGTGTGTGTGTGTGTGTGTGTGTGTGTGTGTGTCTCTGTGAAAAATGACAAGGCCGGCAAGGGGGGGAGTTGGGGATGTCCAGGCTGGCAGGGAGGGGGGCAGTAAGGGGCAATTGTACACCAAGCCTCTATTATCCATACAATGGAATACTACCAAACAATAAAAAGGAACAAACCACTGATATACACAAAAACTTTGCTAAGTAAAAGAAGTCACACACAAAAGGCTACATGTTACATGATATTATACTGTATAGTTCAATTTATATGTAATTATAGGAAAAGCAAATAGATGGTTGCACAGGGCCAGGAGCAGGAGGGCTGGGGAGTAAGTGCAAAGGGGCAAGAGGATGGTGAAAATGTTCTAATCTTAACTATGTAAGTTTGGTAAAACCAAACTGCTCACTTAAAATAGATGAGTTTTATTGTATGTAAATTATCTTTCTTAATAAAGCTGTATAAAAACACACAAACAAATGAACAGTTTAAGAACCCTCTTCAAATCATGTGCAAAAAATAAATGACAAAGGAACTTTACCTGATCCCAATGTTTAAGGGAGAGCGTAGAAAGAGGTGTGGCATTAGCAAATTCAAGATTTGCAAAATGCCAATCAAGTATCTGTCTGTCTCTTGATGAGAGGTATACATCACTGCAAAATGAGAACAAAGGAGTGAAGGTTATTAAAGGACTTTACTATTATGCTCGATAGGCGGATGTGGATGATCTCAGTAACTGTGTGACAATCTAAACCTGGGACTGTGCTTTATGTGAAAAAATTCTAAGTCAAAAGGTAGGACCCGAGCTGTCTTATTAACTCCTTTATTCCTGGTACCTGGAGCAGTGCCAAGCTCACTACATAAAGCAAATTACAATTAGGTCTCATTTGCTTAAAAAGAAAAAGAAAAAAAGAAGTCTTCTTTATATGGTTGCATTATGAAAGCATATTCTTTGTAAAAATTTGTTTTTTATTTTAAAGCATGGACTTTTTGACAAGAATGGGTAGCATCTCTGACTGAAGAACAGAATAGATACATGTGGAGGCCAGGTGCAATATGGAGCACATATCAGCATTCAAGTACTCACTGTCAAAAAAGTCAGTGGAAATAAAGTGTAATACTTTCCTACTCCCCAGAAATATGGGAATTTGAAGCAACATCACCTTCTATGCCACTCAAGAAGACAATTTTCATTGACTACACTTTCATTCAAATACATACATCAGATTTATGAAGGCTATCTTAAAAAACAATATATTTAAGTATCTAGGACTTTCTTACACATTAAAACGTAAGACTAGGGGATTTAGGAACCTGAGAAGCATAGCTGACTATCGAACAAACCGATGCCCACCCCCAAATATCCGGGGATAACTTTTGATTCTCCCAAAACTTAACTACCAATAGCCTACTGTTGACAGGAAGCTTCACTGGTAAGATAATTAACACATATTTGTATGTTGTATTATATGCTGTGTTCTTATAATAAAGTAAGCCAGAGAATAGAAAATACATAAAATTTTATGCAATCATGACATATCTTTTTCTTTTTCTAGATTTCTAGGCTACGCAGTTGTCTGCACATTTTATCAAATTGTTGTAAATCTCCAAAAAATGTTCAATATTATATACTGAAAAATGTCCACGTATAAGTGGACCCGAATAGTTCAAACCTACTGTTTAAGGATAAACTGTAGTTCATAAGCACAAATAGCTTACATTTATCAAACAATTTATAATCCATTCACTTAACATAAATAAAACCATGGTGCTTTATAATTTTCCCTCTAAATCTAACAAAAGAACAGCAAACCCTAGCCTTCTAAACATCAGTGTTTGTTTTTCTTACCTTGGGGGATTGGCTTCCAATTCTTGAAGTTTTTCTTCTAGTTTTCCCTGTGTTTCAGCTAACTCATCATATTCCTGATATAATGAAGAGAACCAGTTGATTTGAATGTGTCAGAGACCAGCCTACTAGTTATTTATACCACAAAATTTAAGGTCTGAACCACATCCATGGCCCAGGTCATATCCACGAGTGTCTCAGCTGAAGGCTGGGTCAGGGCTTGTTATTCTTGGAGACAAATTATAACGTGAGCCTGAAATTAAGATTGGAAGTGGGAAGGTATAGCAACTACCACTTCCTGTGCATTTACCACATCCCTAGCACAGAGTAAGTGCTTTGGATCCCCTAGTGAGTGAGTTAGTGTTAATACCGTGTAACAGATAATGTGATTCAGGAGCCCAAGGTCTCCTGGCTAGAAGATACTAAGTTATGGATTTCAACCAGATAATTTGACTCCAATGACTCAGGAGTCCATGTTCATTATCATTATTCTACACCATCAGGGATAAACTATAGCAAAGGGCTAAAATGAGATGTAAGTAAGCTAAAGGATGAGATTGTGAAAACAAAGTAGGAATTCTGCAGATTAAGTAGATTTCAAACCAAACTAACCATTAAGTCCCCAATGCTCCTGTACCAAACTCTCTTCTCATTATAGGTACCTGTGATTGCTAGTGGATCTTTTCCAATGCTCCTCAGATCTACACTATTTCTTAGGATTCCAAATTAAACCAACTGGGCATGTATGCATGTATACCACACCTTGCACAGGGCAGTCAGATCCCTGTGTTTGCTCTTCACTAAGAACTCAGCAGTGATATCTCTGGGTGGCTTGACTTCAGATGCTTCTTTGTACTGCTGATGGAGCTCTTTAATTTTCTCTTTCAAATTTACCATCTAAGAGGGAACAATCAAAATTTACCATTCCAGATAGTGATGTCATTTGTCTCTAAATCTCGTGCTTTGGCAACTCCCCCTAAACTGCTATTAAACAAACACAGGCCCTTGGAATTCTTAAATGCCTTTTCTATATCATGACATTTTAGAACAGGAAAAACCCCCTATATGGCTTAACACAAAGATATCACATCACTATAAGATAAGTGAGACCACTTCTGTCTTCAGAACTAGGAGTGCCCCATTAATTAATATATATACACACATATACAAATTAATTTAACTTCCAGGAAAAGCAAAGTACTATAATGTAACTTAAACTTGATGTTTTGGAAACCAATGGCCATGATTTGTATGTGTGTTTTTTTAAAATATATAAAAGGTCAAGTTATCACGCAAAGTGACTGGAGGAATCATTCCCAGGATTGGTCTGGTCAGGTTTCCGATGGCACTACAGAGGACTAAGAGGGTGGTTAAAGCTTGAGATGAGGAAGCCCACAGCTGGCCTTCTCCGGCCACTTAGCTCACTTCATGTACACAATCCTGAATAAGGAGTGCCAGAGACCTCTTCACCTGACAGGATGAAGAAATGAGGCACAGTGAGAGTGAGCAAGAGTCTGGTCACAAGATGCTCCCCGGTTTTGCATGACAACTCCCACAGGAGCTGTCCCACTTGACATTTCTCCCTAAGCTGGTGTTATGTTTGCAGCTAACAGGATGAAGACAAACAGTTTCCTAGTCTGGAGGGTGGTGGTAAAGAGCCCTCAATAGATCTACTATTCGGCACAAGTGAAGTAATTATGGCAAAGAATATGGTCTTGGCTGCTGTCATCAATGGAAATGTGACCTCAGGACAGCTGATTTCCCTCCCATTCTAGAATTCAGCAGAGGGCACTGGGTCAGCTTTACAACAGCCCATTTACCAGTAAAGCTGCACTGAAGAGTAACAGATAAAAACAGTGCCTTTTGCTAGTCATTTTTTTCTTAAGGGTAATCAGTGAGTCCTGGTACTTTTAAAATTTCTAAAAGGCTTTTTCTTTCCTACTAATATACCTTCAGCTATGAAAAAAATAAAATAGAATTTCACCTTATTAAGAAGTTCTTTTAATTCCTCCTGAGTTTTTACTATCTTCTTCCAATGTTCAATCTGCTCATCTTTAACATGCTTTTCTTGTAACCTAAAAGAGACAATTTGTATGCTCTGGTCACACAGTCAGCGTTGCAATGTAAGACCGGTATCCATCACAAACATTTAAGAGTATCAAGGCCCACTGATATTTCTAATACTCTGGAACAAGAAAGTTGGCTGGGGACAAATTACTTTCTAGGCTGTGTTAAATACAGTTTAGTGCCATAAAGGTGAATTTTAGAATTTAGAAGGGTCTTACATACCATGTAATTATTTTAAATGGTTTTACTTTTAGAATTAGCTATTTCACATGAAAATAAGCAACAATTAGCTCAAATAAGACTTGATGGAAAACTTAAAACAAAAATTGCAAATCTCTAAGCGGAAATCACTAGACAATAAGCAGAGCTGAAGTACTTACTGAATAACAACTTCCAGTGCCTGGCCAAGGGACACAGGCTTATTATTGAGGACATTGAAGTCTAGTTGATGACTAAGGTAAGATGTAGCTTCTAGCAACCGGTTAAACTCTTGTTCTACCATTTCATCTTTCTCTTTAGGAACCTGAAAATCCGAAGTATAGCAGAGTTGGTCCTTATAATACTGAACATAAATAACTACCCATGAAAACACAAATGCTGTACAGATTAAAAGGTTTCTCAAAGAGGAAACCTTTGAGGACAATGATTTCAACTTCCTTTCTATAAAGTGGTCAATTTTATTAAATGAGAAATGAGATGTTTTGGCACTGATACTCTCTTATTCTCCCAATTTTGCCCCCAGACCTATCTCTAATAACAGCCCCAGGATTCACGCTGACACTAACTGACTTTATGTGGAGTTAACATGCACTGAGATAAGCTGGGATGACATGCAAACAATAGCTAAAAAGGCCCAGAGAACAAAAACTGTGTCAATACACCTGAGGACCTCCCAGCAGAAGGGCAAGATAGACAAATAAGAAGCCAGGGGGACCTGCTTCTCCTCAAAGAACAATTTAAGGTGGGAGTAGGAAAGAGAGAAGTGAAGTTCATGGCAATTAATGAGCTATTAATTTGCAGAGGAATAGTGTTTTTAAGGCACCAATTAAGTTCAGAGCTGAATATCCAAAGCTCAGATTATGAGTGACCGGAGTACCAGAGCTGGCTCGCTATGGTGGAGGAAGGGGAGAGACTGCGGAGCAGATCATCAAGATGCAAGACCATGCTGCCAAGCCCTGCCACCAGTTAGTGGAGACACATACCTCTGTGACTACTACTTCATTCAGCCCCAAGTAAACTATCTGCAATTCTATTGCTGATTTCGTGACAGCAGCGAGAGAAAAAAGCACATCTAATGCAAGCATCTCTTGCCATAATAAGCGGGGCATGAACTGGGAAGTGGAATTTAAATTATGAATTTCACTTTACAGACAACCTAAAATTATGAATTTCACTTTACAGACAACCTAACAAGAAAAATTAAATTATGAATTTCACTTTACAGACAACCTAACAAGAAAACAAAAATTAAAAGTCTAAGGAACACTGGGGCGGAGGAGAAGTGATCTTTTACAACCAGAGATAACTGATTGTAGATAAGATCATCACAGTAAGACTCTATTTCTTGGTTGAAACTCCTTAGTTTTTGGCCTTCCCAATTGAACAGATGATTTTAGAAGCACAAGCCTCTGCCCCTTCACTGATAAGTCATCCAAATAAGTTCGTATAAGCCAGGGGGTGGCAAAAAGAAATACAATGTACACCAAAGAAAGAAAAAAGGGAGGAGGACTGCAACTGTCCTTTGAAACTGTAAATATGACTCCATAAGTGATTCAATCAAAAGCATGTTTTAAAGCAACAAGTTCCAAAAGACCACACAGAAGGGATCAAGAAATCTCTATGAATTAGAGTCCTCATAAGCCTCAGAAATGTCAACCCCTGAGAATCTTCTGGTTTATTCTGAGAAATAAAGCAAAGAATCGGGCTTTGGATACTTGGTGCCATTATATAGCAGGGTGGTACCTAGAATTCAGACACATCTGCCCTCCTATTCAACTCCATGCCCAAAGAAAGGAGCTCTTAGTGACAATACTACTTGTTCTGATACTCAAGAGTTAATGGAAGAGACCATTTTGTCAGGAATTCCATTTTCCTTCTCATTACTTTTCCTCACTAATGCGATGGTCATATATAGAGCAGCTCAAAGCAATGCTGAAATTTTGCTCATGCAATAATGCAACAAAATATGGTTCTATAATCTCTAAATTTGGTGCAACTTTAAAAAAGGAAACAATTACATTTTCAACTGATATCTACTAGTACAGTTATGAGATCTTAACAGATTATAGATGCAATGTATAAGACTGCTTTTCCTGGAGTAGAAAAAGGTGACATTTCTGAGTGGCTTCTAAAACGTCTAGTAAGGGGATGGATGCTGTAGCAGCAAGAGGGGCCAGATCACATATGCCTCTGCAACAGGGAAGAATGTGCCGAACACAAGCGCGTAAATGGTGCCGATTAAAGCTCTTCCAGTGTCCACTGGATGGCCGGCTCCAGACAAGCTTTAATCTTTGCAGTGAGGCTGACAGTCACATAGGGAAGTTCATACTGAAAAATATGCAGCACTCAGGCTCAGTAATTGGGGTCCAGGGTGTGTGGTAGAGAAATACTTAAAGGGACACTGTCAAGGTTAAAGGGACCAAATTTGACCTTTTGTTTCTTCCCTCTTTGCTAAGCAGCCCACTTGATTCATTACACTTTCCCCTTTAGTCCCCCCACGCCCCCCACAAAAACCTAACTTTTTACATGCGCTTTCAATGACAAAAACTCAAATGGCACCAGCCCAACATACAGGCGCAAGTCTGCAACAACAAACCAGGGTGAATGTATGATGGAGAGGACCTTTGGGAGGGAAAGATTTAAGTTTCAAGCTCTTAATGGGTTATTATAAACAGTGAGGAAATGACTTGAAAAATCATGAAAAAAAATACCTTGACAGTGTCCTTTTAACCAGTGCAGCAGAGAGAGAAATAAACTGTAAATAACAGCCCAATAGCCACGTCAAGTTTCATTTTTACGACAGCAGTAAAATCAAGGCTTTAAACACATAACATGGCAAAAGCATTGTTAGCTCAGAAGCTGCAACCAGAGAAATAAGAGACAAACTGTACAGAGACCAAAATGGGAAAGTCCAGGCACAGAGATGGACAAAAGGAAGCCAGCGTGGAGAGGAGGGCGGTGGGAAAGGGAGATGGCATCAGAAAGCAGTGAGGGAAAAAACAAACATAATAAAAGAGAAAAAGAAACACAGAACAGTAACAACAACAACAACAAACAAACAACAAACAAACCAGAGGTCACGGCCACGTCTGACTGACGTCAGGACCACATGACTGCATCTCCGGTACACCATCTCACTCGAGGCTCCCTGAGGAGGCTCTAAGCACAGCCAGCAGGCAGCCCCAGCCAGTTTCTGCCTAAACAGTTATGGGAGTGTTGCCAGTGAGACCAGGGATAGCTTTGAAACCGGAATGTTTTTCCATTAACTTAGAATTGCACTTTGAAACTAAAAGAATATTTGAAAAATAGTAAATAAAATACTTGTCCATTAATCAACACTGACTGGGTGAAAACCAAAAGGTGGTGTTGATATATTTAAATTTTGAATCTGTTTCTAAAATTAAGCTAGCTTAGATATGCACTACTTGACAATGAAAAGAACTTTTACAAATGACAACCTGTAAGCACCCCCTAAATAAATACCTGTTCCCCTTGGCGAGAACTGTTGGACTATCTTAGTTCCAAAAAGGCAATAATTTTAGTTTTACCTGACCATTCTATTCCAGGTTTTTAAATTGCACCTTGAAAAAGAACTCAACAAATGATTGCAAAGAGTTAGGCTCTGTGCCGAAACCAGTTTGGCTCAGTGGATAGAGCGTCGGCCTGCAGACTGAATGGTCCCAGGTTCGATTCCAGTCAAGGACATGTACCTTGGTTGTGGGCACATCCCCAGTAGGGGGTGTGCAGGAGGCAGTTGATCGATGATTCTCTCTCATCGATGTTTCTAACTCTCTATCTCTCTCTCTTCCTCTCTATAAAATATCAATAAAATATATTTTAAAAAAAAGTTAGGCTCTGTGTTAGACAGCACCTGGATTTCTATGTTACAACACAGCAAGAGCATATTAACCAAACTAAGAAGCAGCAGATTTTTTCTGAAAGAATCTGAATATTAAAGTTTTCCAGTAAAGAATTAAACAAAAATATATCACTTGAAACAGATTTTGATATGACTTGTCAAAGCCATTTATTTCCCTATGAAAAGCTCCAGATAAAGTTTCTTCAAGACTAGGAACATTTGGTGAGTCTCACTGCTCTAAACAGGTACAATTCTGATTGTTTTGGTCCTGTAGATTATATGGAACATTCCTGAATGTGGCCAAGGGAGGGATAGCCTATGCATTTAGCCCACGCTGAATAAATTTAGGGAGAGCCAAGCAACTTTCTGGACAAGTCCCTGATCCTGCAAGAAGTTATATCAAAAAAAAGGACACTCTCCTTAGCTCTACCTCTGGTTGCACTCTACCATCACAAACTCTTTAGGTCTACAAAAACATGATCTCATTCCAGTCTGCAGAAGTTCTGAAGCAGCAAAACAGAATGGAATTGACTGCAGCTTGGTTCTGGGTACAGGAAGTTCTGAGATTTAGCCAGAGAAATCCTTAGAAAGAGTAACACATTGAAAAAAGCTATGATGGCTAAGCTTGGCCAACAGAGGCCACAGTCCATCTCCACCTCCAGGCACGCCTAGAATTATAATAACACAAAGACTGAGATGGCTCTTTTGTAAAACCTAGAAGAAGAAATTTACATCTGGACAGTCTCTAATTCAGGTTCCCAAATGGCTACGGAAAACAAGATACAGCTATTTTTCCTAAAGGGAGAATAAGTACAAGTATACCCCCAATCCAAAAGTTTAACGTAATTCTATAAATGAAGGCTGTTATCTTTAAACTCACAGAGATTTTTTTTTAGATTATGCAAATATTGGACTTCCCTAAAGCAGTGACTAGGCCATGTGGAGAGGGTACCCACAATATGCCTAAGGGCTACCCTGGCAATTAGAGTATACAGTAGAGGCACTCAGGAAAGTCCTATTAAATGAATAAATTAACATAGTTTGGAAAAGCAAAGTCAGTATTATTACTATATTTTAGGGGGAAATACCTACTTTGCAACTTCTGGAACATTAAACGAAGGAAGATTTTTACATTTATAAAAAACAGGGATTGGCAGTCATTATTTTAAAGAGTAGAAAAAGAATACCTTCAAGACACCAAATTCCACAAAGGAAGATGAAAACTGAAAAGGCCAACAGGCCTGTGTCGAAGTATTATCCTCTAAGCACTACTATATGAACACAAGTGAGAACTGGCTACCTTCGGTAGGTACTGAGTACATCCAGTTAATGGTTTTTGTAAAAGACGGACACCTGTTATCTTTCTAGTATTCTCTTTCTTCCTTGTAATAGTTGAGCCATTCAAGAAAACTAGTGCAGTATATGTTTTCCCAAGTAGTTTCTGAGTCTCTGGATCTCAACTTGGCAACAACTCTAACTCTGTTCCACTGTGATGCAGAATGTTACAGCACTGCGGGAATATGATTAAGATACCTTTTACTGAAAAGAAGCCAAAACAAAATTAGCATCTAAAGCCCCCAAGTTACCGCTGGTGTACAGGAGATGCAGAAAACATTCAGTCATTTCCCCCATCTCCCCCAACAATCCATGTTTGTGTGGTTGTTGTTTTTTTGCTAATCCTCACCCGAGGATGTTTTTTTCCCATGGATTTTTAGAGAGAATGGAAAGGAGGGAGAGAGAAACATCTATGTGAGAAAGATACATCGATTAGTTGTCTTCCATACATACCCCGACAAAGACCGGGGATCAAACCTGTAACCCAGATATATGCCAGGAATCAAATCTGAGATGGTCTGGTGTGTAATCACACTGGTCAGGGCAACAATCATGTTTTGAGTCCCTTCACTTGTGACTCTCAAAACGTTCTTGAATTATTACCCAATTTCCCAACCCTGTCCACATCCACTTAAAGCTGATTAAAGTACAGTTCAGAGTATAATTCCATCATCATCTGAGAGCAGCTGCTAATAGAAACTCCTATTTACAGGGATATAGTATCTTGTATTCAACTGAAGAGGGAAACCCTTGCTCTAGTACCTAAAGCCATAAAATAAACTTTCCCTGTCAAAACCAATACAACTCAGTGCAGGACCAGAGAGAACAGAGAAGTAAACTCTGTCGGGGAGTCTTGTGATTCAAACCATAAGGTAACAAAACAAAAACACTTGCTATGTAATTTTCCCTGTAACAGCAAAATGTCTGAATATGTGATATGTCCTTAAGACAATATTGCTTAATCAATTTCCCTTACTACTTGGCTATTGCACCAAGTAGAAACATACTAACTTAGAAAAATCCTATAAAGATCAGAGTTGAATGAGAACTACAAATTTCACTTGAAAAAAGCAGCATGCTGAAAACCACACACCTGTTTAACAGCAGTTTACTATAGTGCTACTCAAAGGGCTGATCCTGGTGAGTCTACAACCCAGATGTGCCCCAGACAGAAATCGAACTCAAGACCCTTTGGTGCATGATCACACCAGCCAGGGCAATAATCATTTCAAGTCCCCTCACTAGGAGTTTATGCCAGAACCTAAATTAACACATTGCTTCCTTCAATGAGAAAGTCTTGCTACCAAAGAAAAGTCATCATCTGAACTAACAGCATGGTTAATAATGTCGTTTATTTATGTTCTGGAGTCAGCTGTTTACCTCAACCCATAGTGGTAACCAACAGTTCGTTCATGGATGGGCACACGAGAGATATACTAATTTAAAAAAATTTTTTAAATTTTTAAATAGATTAAACTCATAAAATTCTCTGGATATCTCTTCCTTTTACTGTTACACTACACGAAGCTAAGTGCTCTAAATTCAGGGAAATAAAAGAAAAAGGCCCTCTCCGTAATTAGTGATCATCTTTGGTTTCGATCCCATTACTTCTCGAGGCCTAATGTAATTCACTTTAGAGGCCTTGCTTCCTCAGTTCAATTCTCTAAACCACTGCTTGAATGCCCAAACACGGCTCTGTTCCTATTAGTTCCCTCACTCTAAACCTGGCGAAGTCCCAACCAACAATCAGCCTCGTCAGCCACAGGCTTTCCCCACAGCCCCTCACCAGCATAATCCTGTCCTTTCAGAGACTTCTCTCAGACAAACGTACCTCTGCCTCAATACCTTTCCCTCCACAGCCATGTTCAAGTCCTCAGCCACCTTCACAACCGCTCTCCTTCCCTCTAAATCTCTCCCGCCTTTGCCCCTCCCACCTCCACAGACTCTCCCCTTGGCTCTTCAGTAGCAATTTATCCTTCTACCTCACTCTTGGCAAACCTGCCTGTTGTTAGCGTTATAGGAATAGGCCTGAGTAATATGGTTAAGGGGGGAATCACTTTGATTTTAATGACAGCTATGACTGCTGATGCTCTCGAGTTCATATAAGATATCTGGAGTCACTACAAGTTAGGCCCCTTGAAGGCAGAGAAAGCATCTTCAGTGCTTAAGACAGGGCCTAGATTTTGGCAAATGTTCAATAAATACTTGACTAACTGTGATATACTTACTCCAGACAAAAGAGGGGGCTGGGTAGATAAAACAAGATGGAGAAGAAAAATGGACTCTTTCTACTTTTGTATATGTTTCAAACTTTCCATAATAAAAAATTAGGAAATAATTATTTGTGTTCAAGTCCCAATCCACTATGGCACCTTACATAGCAGGGAATGACTTGTTCAACTCAATAACCTTTATATAACTTTGCAGAATAGTAAAAGTTTATTAAATTGTTGCATTAACCTCTCCTTCATCCTTTTAATCTAATTCTATTTTGCTAATTCTGCCAGAATGGTGGAGATGGGAACTAAGCATTCTCTGAGAGTCTGTCCTTCTCTGATATGAACACCATAAAGCTTAAAGGTATACAGAAATGGATTATAATGTCCCATGGGACCTAAAGTTGGGATCTTACCACTTTTAATAACTGCTACACACACACACACACACACACACACACCCCAAAACTTCCCTTCTTCAGAATTGTAGACACCCTTGCTCTTGACAGAACTGGTAAACTTCTGCTGAATATAAACTTGTGAATTTCACTCACTTCTAAAATTTAGGATTGACTTACATAATCTAAATCAAAATGTCAAACTTGCAGCCCACAACGAATATTTTTGCAGCCCAGACAATATAACAGTGTGTAAGAAACGTTATAATAAAACTTTCGGAACCTAATTTTTACAATATCCTGTTATACACAATTAATAACGAACTACAACGTTCACTAATGACTACTATAATCGTGTTGCAATCATTTCCCTTTTGCGCCTTACTCGCAGGCGCATCATTTCTCTCCATTAACACTAGCAGCGAATATTTTAGCAACAGATGGCCACGACATTTGTCTTGGACTGATTTGTTTGGTGTGTGCAACAGGGAATATTTCACTTTTAGAGAACAAGAAAAATAGGTTTATTTGTGCTATGCTTATTCATTTGTGCAGTTATTCAGTGTCTGCTAAGTTAATGTTCAAGAAAAAATATTTTTATTAAAATGCTCTATTATTTTATGTTAATGATTACTCATTTATTTCAGCCCTTTATATTCAGAATATTTCTATCAAAATAAACCTACGTTTCTATGAAAATTGAAACTTTTTTTTTGCAGCCCACATAAACTTAAACCTTGTTTATTTGGCCTTTAAGTTTAACATGCTTGGTCTAAGCCTCTCATATAGTTGTTAAACTATTGTCACTCTCCCATTTTGAACATCACTTCCACTCTACTGCCATACTAAGTATATGTATCTGGGTCAACAATGTATGTATCTGGGTCAACAATCACCTACGTAACATTGGCTAAGTACCACAATCTGGCCACTAGCCGTTAAAAACTTAAGTCTACAAACACAAAACTCAAGTCATAAAGAGCACATGGAGCTAAAGCACATGATGGATGCACAATACAAAGAAAGGAAGGGTCAAGTGTCAATTACATAGGTCTCTTGGAGTAGGTAGCCTCAACCAAATAAAGATTAGCTAGCTAGCCTTCATTGAATGTTTGAAGATAAATTCTTAAACTGCATATATGTAATAATAATCCCTTCCTAATAAAGCTTAGAATTAAGAAACAATAAGAAAATGTTATACAATTTCTGCCCTCATTTGATATGTATTATGTGTATATATTCACCCATACATTAACTCCAAAATTGTTTTCAAGTGAACAAAGAAATTTTGAAAAGTTCTGTTTGTCCTCCACTTACAGCTTGTCCATTGGCTTCATAAAGTGGGCATTTTTGCTTGATCTTGGCCAGTTCCATATTTACTTGTTTGCTGACCACAGCCATGGGATTCCCTCCTAGGAAAAACTCAAATGATTAAATTCAACATACCTATGAAAAAGAAAACACAAAACCCAAAGCAAAAAATATTTTTAGTCAAATTTAAAATACCTAAACTTGTGTATTCACACACACACACACACACACACACACACACACACACACACACACATATATATATATATATATATATATATATATATATATATATATATCTCCAAAAGTAAAACAAATTGTGTAAGATAAGCATAAAGAAGAAAGCAAAAAATTACCTGTAGTCCCAGTTAGTTAACACTAGAATCTTCTAGATTTTATGTGCATAAAATAGACATACACGCACAAAAGGATCATACATAACACATGTATCGTTTTGTAATCTTTTTTAACTTAGCAATACATTGTGGATATCCTTTCATGTTAATATGGAGTTACATAATTTTTAGTGGCTGTATAGTTCTCACGTGGAACAATTCCATCTTCTAATCTGTGGTTTCTAATTGTTCTGCTGTGCCACATTAAAAATGCTCCAAACATAAGATGGTCCACTTGTTTACTGTCTTAGGATAATTTCCCAGAATTGGATTTGCTAGGTCTAAATGTCTGTACAGTTTAAATTTTGCACACACTGACCTATTCTTCCAGGAAGCCTATGTGACAATTTACCTCTCATTAATACTAAGAATAGTATCCTAAGTCAATATATTTTAAAACTGCATCTAGAGCTTTAAAACATAAGCTTAAACAACCTTACGGATCTGAGAAGTGTATTACAGCACAAAGCTACTTACCAAGACCTGTTACTACCATAGCTCCAAGATCAGCTACATAGTTTCCTTTTCGAAATGTGGCAACTCGTCCACCTACACGATCCTGTTTTTCAGAAATTAAATGACTAAAATCATCAATTCTATTTTAACCATAAGAACCTGGCATGGTATGCCCCAGGCCCCTGCCTTCTAATCATTTAAAATGAAAGGTGCAGTTTAGAGTTTACATGGAATGCAATGAACTGCACAATGGGAACAAAGAGCAAATGGAGTTTAAATGGGAGGCAGGAAATGAATGACATACTGAAAGGTATGGAATTATGAGGTGAAACAAGAAAAACAATTTGGTAGTCAGAAGACATATTTAGTAATAGGTACTGCTCTCTCTCTATCCAGCTGTCTCTAATGCCTCTAGTGAACAGGCTAAGCAAAGGTCACATGCATAGAAAATATGTATTAAGAAATTCCAACTAAACACCATCTTTCTACCACTGATTTCCTACTATTGCCTTCCACTGCCCAAAGTCAGCTGTGAATGATTTGATAGATAATTTTTTGACAATGGTTCTCCAGAACAGATCCACGCCCGGGATAGTTCAATAGAGCATGAACTATTATTAATAACACCTCTCATTCCTAAGCAGGCCCACGTTTATCTCTGCTGACTAGGGCCTTTCAAGTATGGGATAACTCTCCTGAGCTGCGGGGATATTTCAATTATGGATAAATACAGGCATGCAAACAAGCAAACAAAGCAAAAACAAACACCTGTAAACTGGATTAAAACTCCACATGGGTAGGAATCATGATTCTATCATTCCTTACTGTATTTTTAGTGCATAGGACACAAAACTGTTTTCTTGATTAATGAATAAAACATTTTTAGTAAAACTATATCAGAAATTATATTTAAAAGAGTATTTTTAAAAATGATCAATTTAGCCCCGCCCAGTGTGGTTCAGTGGTTGAGTGTCAACCCATGAACCAGAAGATCATTATTTGATTTCCAGTCAGGGCACATGGCCAGGTTGCAGACTCCATCCCCAGAAGAGGGTGTGCAAGAGGCAGCCAATCAATTCTCTCTCATCATTGATGTTTCTATCTCTCCCTTTCTCTTTCTCTTCCATTTCCTGAAATAAATAAAAATATATTAAAAAAATAAAGTAATAAATTAATAATTTAACTTGTACTACAGAGATTTTATAAAATTATAGGTTGTTTAGGTTACCTTGAGAAGTATTTATTTTTTAATTAATTAATTTTAAATTAATTTTAAAGAAAGGAAGGGAGAGGGAGAAAGAGAGAAACATCGATTGGCTGCCTCCCACACTTGCCCTGAGAGGGGATCAAAACTGTAACCCAGGTACCAGATATATGCCCTAATGGAGACCCAGGTACCAGATATATGCCCTACGGAGAAGGGAAACCCAGAACCTTTTGGTTACAGGACAACGCTCCAACCAAGACTCACTGGGCAGAGTGAGTTGTACTTTTTTAAATAGTGGGAGTCCAGGAAGGTCTTTAAGCCACTGGAAGATAATTAAACCTCAAATTTTACTAATGAAGGCAATTTAAATAGTATTCTAACACGACATCCTTTTCCCCACTCTGTGTCATCATCCCTTTCCTCCTTCACTAGTAGTTTCTGTTTCTCTCTCTAGGACTAAGAGAAGGGAGCCAATATCTTGGCTTCAGTAGGCCCTAAAAGATGGCAGCTACAGGAGAATCTATTCCTTGTCCTTGACTGTCAAACATGAACACAGTTCACTGTGCTCCACTAACTACACACACTGCCTCCTGCAAAGGATACCTCCATGAAAGCCCCAGTACCGGCAAATACCCACCAAAAGGATATGCAGATCATTTACAAACTCTGCATCCTCACTAAGCACTTTTCAAAGCTTTGCTGTCAAAAGTGCTTCAATATAAATAACACTATTCAAGATACTTTTATAAGCATTAATCCAAGTCAATTTGGTTTAGTTTAAGTTATGATTTCTTAATTTGCAACTGATAACTTCCTTTAGGCCAAGCTTCTAAACCCCAAACAAAATTCTTACCCTAGCTTCCAGAAGTGTGACATCCATTCCGAAACTCTGTAACTGACGAGCTGCCGCCAAGCCTGAGACTCCAGAGCCTATAATAATTACTTTTCCTGTCTTTTTAGCTAAAAGCAAAAAATGAACAAAAATTAAGAATATTTTGTTGTAGGTTTGGGTTTGTAATTATGGTCTTTTATCATGAAAATCTCTTAACACGTCATAATGTCTTACAAAGTATACAATTTAGTTATTTTCAAAATATGGAAAGTATCTCTCTATATATAAAAGGTCATATGACTCGCACTGGCAAATTAAAAATAAACGTTAACTTGTGTATATGTAAGACATATAAAGCTCTTGCTGGCACCAATCTAGAAAGACTAGGAATATTCCTACCTGAACCTGTTTTCGGACATGGTTGGTTACATGTTGCTTTCTCGCAAGTTCAAAGAGCGTGTGACATTAAAGTTAAAGTTGTAAATACTTTATTGCATGGGAAATTAGTCACGCACTCTGAAAGTATTTTTACTCTTGATGTGATATATATGGAGGTATTAGAATAAGTTTAATTAATTTGTCAGTTATTGTTTCTACTGTGTTTCCCTAAAAATGACATCCTCTGAAAATAAGACCTACTTACAGGTTTCCTTCTGAGTGAAATATAAGGCATCCCCCCGAAAATAAGGCCCCTCTAGGCTAAACATGAGAGATTTGGTCTACTGATTCTGAAAGAAATGGAGTCACAAGAAATTCACCAGGAAATTCAGGAATTGAATTGTTATGATGATGTTCTAGAAGATGATGACATGATTGTCATTGAATAAATGAGTAAATTCTTGATACTGTAGGATTCACAGTTTGTCTGGTTTGTGTTGACAACTACCGTACTACCGTACCGTATACAGGTAATAAATTTCCTTTATTTTCATTTAACAATAAATATGTACCGTATTCTTCTTCATGGGAAAATAAGGCATCCCCTGAAAATAAGACCTAGCGCATCTTTGGGAGCAAAAATTAATATAAGACACTTTATTTTCGGGGAAACATGGTATATCATGTTTTTGTTGTTTTTATAGTTTTATATCATGTCTTTGTTGTTATATCATGTTGTGATTATTTATTAATCACTTTATATATTATCTGCATATTTTACTAATTTCCTTTCATCTCTGATATTTCTATTATAGAGAAAGGGTGAATAGTGATATTAAAATATTTCTTCTAATTAATTTCCTTTCAATGTGCACAAACCCATGCACCGGGCCACTAGTCTGAAATGAGCAAATATATAAAACTCATAAACTTTAATTCAATGTTGAAAATTTATAAATGAAATCCTTTATGTTGGGATATACTTTCTCATTTTTTCAGTTATATGTTTCAATATCTGTGATTCGTGGTTAATTTACTGTAAATAACCTGTTTAATTACCTCACAATTACACCATGACAATTTGATCAGCCATCCTATTTATCCTTAAAGCTATTTTCTTTAAGCTTTACTTCAACAGTCTTCAGTATCCCTTTTGGAATTATTGAAGCATAAAAAATAAATGTATTTTTAAAATAATTAATTAGTTAATTAATTAATCCTCAAATATCCCTATCTCCTGGATTCCTGGCAGATATTATCCAGAGACTGTGAAATTATTTATTATATATTAAACTTATTCTAATATCTCCCTATGTACCTATATATAAAAAAAAAGAAATGCAAACTAGTATAAAAAAACTAGTCAATGAGAGAAAACCTCCAACCTCCTGCTTTCATAATTTAACTTCTCTCATTTTTAACAAATTTTATATTTTAATTGATTCTTCTTAAATTGGAAGTCGAATACCTTTACTAAGAACCTATCAAACCAGAAATTATAGGAAGTTAGAGGCCTGGTGCACAAAATTTGTGCACAGGGTGGTTCCCTCAGCCCAGCCTACACCCTCTCCAATCCGGGACCCCTTGGGGGATATCTGACTTAAACTGGCAGTTGGACATCCCTCTCACAATCCTGGATCACTGACTCCTAATCGCTCACCTGCCTGCCTGCTTGGTTGCCCCTAATCTTCTCCCTTACCGCCCCCCCCCTTCCCCCAACTCCCCAGCCGCCGGCCTGATAGTCCCTCACTGTCTGTGTGCCAGCCTGGTCACCCCTAATTGCCCCCTGCTGCTGGCCAGGTCACCCCCAACTGCCCCCTCCCTGCTGGCCTGGTATCCCCCAACTGACCCCCTGCAGGCCTGGTCACCCCTCATGCCTCCCTACCCCGCAGTCCTGGTGGCCTCATGCAGCCTGCTGTTCAGTTGTTTGGTCGTCCCTCACTAACCCCCCTGCCAGCCTGGTCATAGGGAGCTATCTTGTGAGGATGTGAAGGTTAATTTGCATATTACCTCTTTATTATATAGGATGTATTTATGAAGATATTTTAATTTTGACCTTTAAGAAGAACTCTGGAATGTTTTAACTTCAAATATAGATTTAGAAATAAAAATAAAATACTAAAAGCCTCCTGGAAATAAAACCGAGTCCATAACAAAATCAGGAATGCATTGGCCAGCTCCTTACTTGGTAGGGGTTTTATCCTCTTATAGATGCCGAAGTTAATAAGACCGTGACGCTCTAAATAACTGTGAACTCGGTGGACAAGCACAGTATCACCTATGGAATAAATGAAGTTAAAAACATGTTCATATTTTTAGCAGTTTATTTTTTTTAATTTTTTAAAAATACATTTTATTGATTTTACACAGAGAGGAATTGAGAGGGACAGAGAGTTAGAAATGTCGATGAGAGAGAAACATTGACCAGCTGCGCCTCTTGCACACCCCCTACCGGAGATGTGCCCGCAACCAAGGTACATGCCCTTGACCGAATCGAACCTGGGACCTTTCAGTCTGCAGGCCGATGCTCTATCCACTGAGCCAAACCGGTCCCGGCTCTTTTTAGCAGTTTAAACAAAATACTTTTTAAATTCTATTTCTCCATCATGAAATCATTCTATACTTCTTTTCCACAACCTTCAGGTCATGTGACTCCTTTAGAAAAGTGATTCTTAGAACTAAGTTATGAGGTAGTACAAAATGCATAACATATAATTAGGAATTTTTAAGAATGACATTCTATCATAATGAAATAAAAGTCAAAACCAACCCTCTTAATGTAATATTATGCTCATTTACTTTGGCAAAACTTTGTAAGATTTTGTTAGTCCCAAGTGGGGAATGAGAAAGCTAGGTAGCCAGTCAACTGAACGCCAACAAAGTACTCCAGAGTGTAAAGCTAGAACAGAGGTCTGGGAAAATCATTAGCAATCTCTTAAACTCACTCATCTGTTGCTACAATTTATAAACCAGAAAACACAAGATACAAAACAGCTTTTTTACAAGGCTCATTTTTGCACAGTACAAGGTGAAATAAGATGAAAATACAAACTAAAAAAATTAAGGAGCCAGGAGGCTCCTGGAAGAAAATGTCAATTTTCATAATCCAGTCCAATCTACGGAACACATTACTCACTGTTGTAAGGTGCTTCTAATTGTTGGAGAGTAGCCTCAAAAGTCAGCTGAATCTTGGGATTATCCAACCACAACTGCAACTGTATTTAAATAATAGAAATTGCATTACACACAATTTGATGTATACCATATTTCCACTTTAAAATATCCTTTTAACTTTAAGGCCCAAATATGGGCTTTCCTTTCAATGAAACAATGGGGGTTATATTCCCAACAGAGAAACTAATGAAACACAAAAACATAACAAATGAGCAAATTATTGAAGAAGCTGAGAGATTTACCTAAAAAAAACAAACAAAAAAAACCCACAAAACCTAGCGACTTGCCAAGATCATACAGCTGGTAGGAAGCAGCTAGGATTTAAACCTGTATTGCATGACACCAAAGATACTGAGTAGGTAAAACCAACAAAATCAAATGATCAATTAGATATGCAGAGGTGGGGGAAAAGAGATGCCAAGGAAAACGCCTCCTTTGGGGCTTGTACAACTAAATGAGTAAGTATGCCATTCACTGAATAAGGATCACTGAAAGATGAGTAATGAGTTTAGTTAGTTTCAAGAGAAGAGTAGATTACCCATGTTTCCCTGAAAATAAGACATCCTCGAAAAATAAGACATAGCGCATGGAAAGATAAGACATCCCCTGAAAATAAGACCTAGCGCAACTTTGGGAGAAAAAATTAATATAAGACACTGTCTTATTTTCTGGGAAACAGGGTAGATATAAGACTGGTATCTCCATATATAGCTGGGGCTTACAGGACAGTTAAGACCTAGAGCAATTTGCGTATGGGTGATAAAGCCAAAAGTGTAGAAGAGGGGCCCTGGCAGGAGAGGAGTTAAGGAGCCTTAAGGAACTCCAAGCAGTTCACATAATGGCCTGTTGTTCAAGGATAAGCCTACAAAGCAGTCAGAGAAGACAGCAGCTAGGGAAGCAGAGAAAACCATCCTATATAATAAAAGCCTACGTGGTGGTGTGCAATGCTCTCACGTGATGCCATCACAAGATGGCCATTGTGACGTACTCACAAGATGGCCACCCTCATATTGTCACAAGAAGGCCAAAACAAGATGGCTGGCAGGGAGGGCAGTTGGGTGCAACCAAGTCTGCAGGGGAGGGCAGTTGGGCTGACCAGGCCTTTGAGGAGGCAGTTAAATGCAACCAGGCCAGCAGAGGAGGGTAGTTGGGGGTGATCAGGCCTGCGGGGGAGGGCAATTGGGAGTGACTAGGCTGACAGGGGAGGGACATTAGGGGCAATCAGGCCAGCAGGGGAGGGGAGGCAATGGGGCCAGCAGGGGAACAGTTAGGTGTCAATCAAACCGGCAGGAGAGTGGTTAGGGTGTGATTAGGCTGGCAGGCAAAAGCAGTTAGGGGCAATCAGGCAAGCAGGCAGGCAGGCAGGAGAGCAGTTAGGAGCCAGCAGCCCTGGATTGTAGAGGGTGCAGACCAAGCTGAGGGAGACAACCCCCCCCCCATGTACAAATTGTGCACGGGGTCTCTAGTCTATAATACTAGTAAAAGGGTAATATGCTAATTAGACTGAACATTCTTCTGGATGAAACTAGGGTTGCCTGGGTCCTACATGCCTGCCAGTCGTTGGAGGGAAGACTGTGTCCCAGGTGCCAGAAAGAAGCTGGTGCTGGCAGCCAGGGGAAAGAACGACTACTCTTGCACAAATTTCATGCATCGGACCTCTAGTAAGACTATGTTAAGCTAAAGGAGTAATGTGTTTAAGAAAAAAGGAGCAGTCAATTAGTATTTCAGATACTGCTGAAAAAGCAGTAAGATGAGAAATGAAAAATACTGTAGTACAATCAAAGGGCTCTAACATGAATTCTCTTCAAATTGAATATACATCTTCAAAATGTAAGACCAACTGCCTACCACTATATTTTAAGTCTTAGCTAAATTTTAATAAAGACTGCTCCAAAGACAAGTTTTAATGAACAAGAAACTTGGTCATTTGTAAATAAATCCAATTAAGAAATATAACCAAAACCATAGAATCTCCACTTTCCTCTGGTCTGTATCCCGGGAAAATGGAATTCCTCAGGTACACTCTGGGCCCAAGTTCCTCACCCCCCAAAATAAGCCTCTTCCTCCTTCCACCCTATAAAATAAAGCTTATGTTGTCCAGCTAGTGTGGCTCAGTGGTTGAGTGTCAACCTATGAACCAGGAAGACATGATTTGATTCCCCGTCAGGGTACATAGCCAGGTTGCTCACTCCTAAGGGGTGTGTATGCAAGAGGCAACCCAGTGATGGTTCTCTCTCATCCTATATAATAAAGCCTAAAATGCTAAGTGTCCGGTTGTCCATTCAACCAATCAAAGCATAATATGCTAATGATACACTAAGGCTGCTCAACCACTTGCTATGATGTGCAATGACCAGAAGGGGGCGGGCAGGCAGTCAATCCATCAACCAGTCCCTATGTTGTGCATTGACCACCAGGGTAGATGCTCCAACCAGTAGGTTAGCTTGCTGCTGTGGTCTGGCTGATTCGGAGTGAGCGAGATGGGCTGGATACACTGTGGAGACCTCCCATGGTTCCTTCCCAGCCTTGATTGTATTGCGGTGGGGTCTCTCAGCCTGGCCTGTGCCTGCTAGCAATCTGGGACCTCTTGGAGGATGTCCGAGAGTTGGTTTTGGTCCAATTCTGCAGGCCAGACCAAGGGACCCCAATGGTGCGTGAATTCGTGCACTGGGCCTCTAGTCATTAATATTTCTTTCTCTCCCTTCCTCACTAAAATCAATTTAAAAATATATATCTTACCTAATAATAGATAAACATGTAAATTGACCATACCTCTGCTACACCACCAGCCAATCAGGGGTGATATGCAAATTAACCCAACAAAGATGGCAGTTAATTTGCATACACAGGTGAGGCTGGAATGGAAAGAGGTGGCTCTTGGGGCCTGAGCGGAAAGGGGCTGGGCTGGAGTGAAAAGGCGGTGCCAGCAGCCAGGGAAAGGAAAGACCATTCTAGCACAAATCTTTGTGCACTGGGCTTCCAGTATATATAAAGACAATTTTGTCTAAAAATATCCATTATATCTAATGTTATGCTATTCATAGACATGGATTCAATTATATTACAAATTAACCTCAAAAATACACATTAAAAATTTTTCACTCACATTTAAAAAATATACATATGTATTTTTTATTTATTTCAAAGAGAAAGGGGAAGGGAGAGAGAGAGAGAGAGAAAAACATCAATGACCAGAGATAATCATTGATTGGCTGATTCCTGTACATGAGCCCCACACTGGGGATCGAGCCTGCAACTCAGGCATGTGTCCTGTGAGCTTCTGGTTCATAGATAAACGCCCAACTATTGAGCCACACTGGTGGGGCTCCACTCAAATTTTAAAAATCAATCTGCTTTTTCTCGACAAAAGAGAACCTTTATTCTGTACTACAAAAATGCAGTATGACCTACCAATCCGGGACCTTTCAGTCCGCAGGCCGACGCTCTATCCACTGAGCCAAACCGGTTTCAATAAAAATATATTTAAAGAACAAAACAAAACAAGGCCTTAAGCGGCCTTTCATACATTTTAACAAAGTAGCTTTTCTTTTAGAATTCAATCAAAATGAAATAATAAACAGAGATAGAGTTAAGAATGTATAAAAGCTGCTTTAACATGTAAAAATGGGACACTGAAATGTCCAACAGTTAAACTGCGACTTGACCGTCAGACAAAATATTATGCAAGCATTAAAAATCAATTATATTTAGCCAGAGGAAGATGTTGAATCAGATAAATAAAACAGAATAATGGTTTCTCTTATCCTGAGAAAGAAAAAGTGATTATTTTAAAAGTATTTATTTTTAAATGTGTAAAGATTCTTATTGTGTATATGAGGCTATGAGGAATGAAAAAGAGACAAAGAATGAGAGTAAGTAGGTTCTCAATTTTACAAAAACAAGAATCACATATAAAAATTTTAAAATATCTGAAAGGCGGGGGGAGAAACCCCACTAATTTTCAACAATGGTACTCTCTTTCCCCCATATTCTCTCTAAAAGTAACATGCTTTTTTTATAAAGAGATGGAAAAAAGAACTTACTGTGCGGTTTCTAATAAAGAGAAAGACCTTCTGGGTCTGCTGTGGTCCACTGATAATATCTGGAAAACAAGCTGCTTCTTGAGAAGTCATCCGGTCATGAGGAAGTCTACTCTGGAACGCTGCACCCTCCACACCTAGCAAAGCAAGCAAAGGACTTCTGGGAAAACGGCAAGTGAATTCAGAATTCGGGATAATGATTATGCCTCAAACTCCTTTTGGACCTGAGAACCTCTGTAAAGCTTTGCCTCATTCACAGCCTGATCTCACTTCCTTAAAAAAAAATTTGCTCAAAAGCTAAAACATCCTTAAAATTTAGTCATTTCAAAATTACAATTTACTGAGTGAAACAATACACCTTATAAAACATAACAAGGCACTATAGAAAATTTCTATAACTACATTATATTTTTTCATTGATAATGTTGGAGAATATGCTAATTACAATTGGTATCACTAATAGTGTACAATAAATTTTAAGGAAAATACATAAACAGAAAGCAGAAGCAGCTATGGAGTGAAAAACACAATCACATGTCAAGACTGGTTTGGCTCAGTGGATAGAGTGTCAGCCTGAGGACTGAAAGGTCCCATTCAGTCCCAGGTTCGATTCCAGTCAAGGGCATGTATATTGACTTCTCAATAGGGGTGGTGCAAGAGGCAGCTGATCGATGATTCTCATCGATGTTTCTAACTCTCTATCCCTCTCTCTTTCTCTCTGTAAAAAATCAATAAAATATATTTAAAAAGAAGAAAATGTCATAAAACACACACACACACACACACACACACACACACACAAAACCCCCAAACCAAAACACAATCCCTCTTTGAGGATTAGACCAAGGAACATGAAAAGGCCTCTAAGGTTAAATAACGAATAGTATAAAATACACAGTTTCATCAATGGCATCCCCATTAGTTCCCATAATTCAATGCTGGCAAGCAGTGAGAGAAGTTAAGCAGACTACAATGATGAGAGAAGAAGGCAAGGAATTTACCTTTTCTGGCATAAACATTAGAAATGCTGTATTACTTATTGTAAGTAAAATATGTTACTGTATTAGTATATAGTACATATACATGTATATATACACATACATAATAAATATACATGTAGTATATCTCATATTCTATAAGTAAAATGTTATTTTGAAACTCTTTAAGTTGTGTATTAAATTGGTGTTTTTATATGCTGAAAGTAAAGTACATCTTTATAAGATGTCCTTAGACATACATTTATATACATTTTACTTTATATTTCTAAGATCTCTCTATAAAATATACTTAACCATCTGCTTACGGGTTATCAAGAAATAATTTAAAGAGTGTTAAAATTCAATACCACTGAAATAATTACACATAAGTAACTAAATGAGTACCAGGTATCCATATTAAATTACTTAAAAGCACTTAAGACAAGAAGTTGGAAGCAGTGATAACAAAAGCAAAATTAAAGGTATTAGTAAGATTAGAAGAATAAAATGAACAAGGCAGGTAAAGTTGCTTGGAAAATTATAGCTAAGCTATTTAGGTGTTGCCACAAACACATTCAAACACTGCCTAGAAAAACAAAATGGTTAACAAGAGGTCAAACAAAAATGCCTAATGCTAGTATGGGCTGCACATTAAGAAACACTGTTCTTGGAGGCAAAGAGAAAAACCTATCCTGTTTCCCCAAAAATAAGATAGTGTCTTATATTAATTTTTTCTCCCAAAGTTGCGCTAGGTCTTATTTTCAGGGGATGTCTTATTTTCGGGGAAACACGGTATCTATCCACAACAGATAATGAGGAGAAAATACTGTTCAAGTAACTAAATCAAATCAACAATCCTCACATTTAATTAATCCCAACCTAAAATTAAAGACTATCAGAATAGGAGAGAAAAATAATCAGTAAGAGCCATATTGCTAAGGATACAGCATGAAGTTAAGGCAAGAAAAGAAGAAATGCTGACTATCAGGGGATATAGGTTATTTCAGTAATGTGAAAATTTCTATAACTACAGCTTTGATGTCTCTAGTCCTCTATCACCAAATCAAAATAAATAAACTAAACACAAAACCAAGATAAAAAAAAGTGTCATATTATAAGAAGCATTACTTATATAACAATAATAATAATCCTGAGTATGAACCAAATATGTCTTAATAGTTTACTTATTTTATTTCATGAGTGTGTACTATTAACATGAAAATAAATAAATTCTATGAACTCTACTTTTCTCCCTCCTCCAAATAGGGATAGTTTCTTTCTTAGCTATTATTTTCTCTATGTTTAATTGATGGTCACTGAACATCAATCCTATTGCAAGATCTATTGTCAATGACAGGAAAATCATGAAGAAAAAAACACTTAACTTTATGTTACACCTGGCTCCTCATCCCAAGTGTTACCATAAAAAAAATCACTCAGCAGGTACGGTTCAATGGTTGAGCATCCACCCATGAACCAAGAGGTCACCAGACTGATTTCCAGGCAGGGCAACATGCCTGGGTCGTAGGCTGGATCTCAGGGCGTGCAGGAAGCAGCATATCAATGTTTCTCTCTCTCTATCCCGCTCCCTTCCTCTCTCTAAAATAAATTTTTAAAATATTTTTTTTTTTTTAATATATTTTATTGATTTTTTACAGAGAGGAAGGGAGAGAGAGAGCTAGAAACGTCGATGAGAGAGAAACATCGACCAGCTGCCTCTTGCACACCCCCTACTGGGGATGTGCCCGCAGCCAACGTACATGCCCCTGACCGGAATCGAACCCGGGACCTTTCAGTCCGCAGACCGACGCTCTACCACTGAGCCAAACCGGCTTCGGCTTAAAATATTTTTTAAAAAGCATTCTAATGCAGCAGGCTAACTTTGGGAATCTTGAGAATATGTAACAATTAAGCGATTTTATTTATATAACTCGTGTGGCAGTTTTAAAGTATCTTTAAATCAAATATCAAAAGTTTAACTAAAGGAATTTAAAGCAGCCATTATCTGTGGAATAATAGTCTTCTCCATCTTGATCTTCTAAATAACATCTAAAAAAGCTAACTATTCTTAAATACATCAATTTTTAAAAAGGAAGAATGGTCTCTTAAAAAAAAAATCTTGGTAATTATATCCTTCCTTTTGGTTTTTAGGGATAAAGACTATTATTTTCAAGGAAGGAACGCCACAATCAAGGCTAAAAGCCGGCAAGAAAAAAATCTAACCTTTTTTCACAAAAAACAAAATTTAATTTGGGACTTAAACTTTTCAGAAACTAAATTAAAACATCCTTTTTATAGGTTATTTCCAAAATGAACAGACCACTCTGGATAATCTAACTCTTTTGAGGGAAAACCTTAAAGAGTACAGTTATTAATATCCTTATTAAAAGGAAGTTAGTAGTAGTATATATAATTCAGAAATAATTTACACTTGGCTCTAGAATACAGTTTTATACTTTGGTGTTTGTGTGCACTTATCAGAATCTGGCATTCTAGAAATTGAGAATGTTTCAAAGACGCTATTTAATTTCTAAAGAGCCCCAATGTTGCCTACATACCAATCTTGCCCTTTATTCAGTTACTTTCTCATCAATTCACACAGGAAATTCTAGCTCACCTTTAAAAATGCAGTCATGCTATAAAAGCACAACTACTTTTTCTAATGGCTCAACACTTTGAAAACATAGTAAAAGTAGTTAAATTACTAAAGGTACTAATTTAAATCTCTCTGGATAGATCAATTCTAGAGGCAGAAAAGGGGAAGGAGACAGGAGAGATGTAGGCCTCTTATTTCATGAACTCATTCCCCCATCCTGATTCTGATATAATAGCAGCATCTTGAGTAAAGAAACAGAAATACAAAAATTAATAGAGAAGAAAGCTTTTTTTCCATGAGAGTTACTAGCTTTCCCCCTGCCCCATAAAGTACTAGATAAATTAACTGTAACTAGGTTTCTAGCTAAAAAGTGAAAACAAAAGCCTGATAGGATCTACATATCAAAGACTACTTAAAGTCAGTCAACTATAGATGTACCATATTCAGTCTTATAATAGTTTACAAATAAAAAGAATAAAGAATGAAGGAGAGAAAAGAATAAAAGAGGAGAATCATATGATTTCTTTTGCTTTCGATGTTTTCTTTTTTTGGGTAAGTGCACATTTCAATGATTCTGGGAGGAAGTGTGTGATGAGTACCTATGCTTTAGAAACAAGACCTCTGGGTTCTCATTCCCCAACTGCTGGTGTGTCCTGGTCAAGTCATCTAACTTTGTTTCAGGTCCTAATCCATAAAATAGGGATGATACAATACTATCTGTTTGTCTAGGAAGCTAGACAAGATGATCTCAAGTTCCCTTCTAATTTTTAAGATTTAGGATATATAACCCAATTTGATTTGGATTTATAAAAAGTCAAGATATGATCTCTGTCCCAAGACACTCACGAGGGTCGTTGGCTTTATTTAGAGAAGATTGTTGATAACTTGTAAGCACATTTCTAATGCTGACTGGTCACCGCACAAATGTATACTTCTGAACATGACAAAGGCCTGAAGGGAGATCTTGAAGAATTCCTGGAAATGCTTAAAACTCGTAATCTACTAATATTGTCTGTAACACCACAGTTTTATATGAAGTTTGCTTTTACCTTCAGCAATACAATGTTTTGTTTACTTTAGCAAGAGTAAAATTTTATTCACATAAAAACAAAACAACAACAAGAAAAGCCAATATAGTTCTTCAAGATTAAAGCTCTAAAGGCTATCCCAGACTCTCAACAATTCCATGGAAGATCCAATTGTGCATCCTTGGATGAAAAACATTCTTGAAGGTTTGGCTGAATAAGGATTTTTCACTCCTCTAAAATAACCATATACCAGTTATCAACTACCAATCCTTGGGCTAGCATTTCAAGAAATCTGTTTCTAACAGTCTGAATCCTCTAAATATTAATTTCTGTATTAATGTTGAACTATTTTTGCTCCAAGAGTAAAATACAAATACTCCCTGGACCTGCTGTACGCAAACTATAATAGACAAATAATTTTAAAGTAGAAGTAACAATTGAAAAATGACATACTACAAAAATAGAGTAATACCTATTCCAGTTGTATAAATATGTAAAAGCAGCCTTGACACCAGAACACAAAAACATTCTTTAAG